GGCTCTCATGCACAGCACCATTTCGCTCCCCACCCCAACATGTCCAGCTGCCCCGCTGCGTGCCCAGACCCTGCGCTGAGACCCAGCAAACTCATCCGGGTGCCAGGGCTCCAACCGCCCGGACAGGGGCTGGTGGCGGCCGTGTCCCAGGGCTGTGTCCCCTGGCCTGGCAAGTCCCCAGCCCGACCCGGCCCCGTGCCATCCTTCGCAAGCCAAGACAGACAACGCGGGCAGCGTGATGGGGCTGCTACGTGATGGCAAAAGGGGCCGCAGGCCGTGTGGGTGCGTCCGCTGCCAGCCCCGGCATCCCTCCGTGGGAGTCAGGGCACCCCCACAATGCTGGCCCCAGCACCCCACCGCCTGCCCCCTGTGGCTTTGTACAGGAGGGGGTGGCTGCCAGGGTCCCACCCCGTGCCCGCAGCCTCTGGACAAGGCGGAGGATTGCTGGCTCTGCCCTCAGCCCAGCCTTGAGCAGCGCGCCTGGTCCAGAGCCAGGCTTGCAGCTGCAGCCAAGGCTGCCAGCGGCCTCTGGGCCCCCCGAGCGTTTCCAGGGCCCTGCGCTGAGGATGGAGGCTGGAGGGAGGCCGGGCATCGGGGTCCCGCCGGGCATTGCCCAGCTCTCAGGATGCCAGCCGGGGGGGAGCGGCACCGCGGGGCTCCAGGGGGTCCCCCGGGACGGGCATCGCGGGACGCGTGCCCTGGGTGCCCGGGGGCGAGGGGGGGGCTCCCGGGAGCCCCCGGGGCGCAGCGGGGCCGGCGGCACTTACCCTGACGATGTAGGAGACGCCGGGCCCCAGCACCCGCTCGTCGGGGTGCAGCCAGCCCTGCGCCGGTTTGCTGATGAAGCTGCCCTTGCGGTTCCAGTCCTCGCCGCCCGGCCGGGCCCCCTCCGCCCGCGCCGCCTTCCTGGCGGCCCCGGCCCCGGCGCGGAGCCGGCTGAGCCCCGGCAGCGAGCAGGGCGCCGAGCAGCCGGGCTCGCAGGCGCCCAGCACCGCCGCCAGGCTGGACGGGGCCCCCCCGGGCTCCGCGGCGCCCCCCGGCCGGGCCGGCGAGGAGAGCTCCTTGCTGGAGCCCGAGGGGCTGCGGCTGAGGAAGCCGCCGGGGCCGGGGAACTTCCACTGGGGCATCCTGGGCAGCAGCATGCAGAACGTGGTGCCGGCCTCCGGCTCCTCGCCCGCCGCCGGGCACGGCTGCGCCAGCCCCGGGGCGGGAGCCGGCACCGGCACCGGCACCGGGGCCGGCATGGGGGCGGCCCTCAGCGGCTCGTCGCGGAACCGGTCATACTTGGGCTCGGGGAGCATCCCCTGCCCCGCTCCGCCCGGCGCTCCGCCGCCGCCGCCGCCGCCGCCGCCCGGGGCGAGCGCCCCGCTCCGCTCCGCGCCGCCGCCGCCCGCCCCCCGCCCGCTCCCCCGGGGCCGCCGAGCGCTGATGTCATGGAGCGAGCGCTCCGCCGCCCGCCCCCGGCCCCCCCGAGCATCCCCGAGCATCCCCGCCTCCCGCCCGCCCCTGCGGCCCCCGCCCGCCCCGCTCCGGCCCCCCCCGCATCCCCCCCTCTCCCCCGCGCCCCACTGCGGTGGGACCCCCAAAAGGGGCAGGGGTCGGCCCCGCGCCCGCTCCCGCTTGGGGCCGGCCGGGCTCTTCCCTGCACAGCCCAGGGCACCTGCACCGGCCGCCAGAGCCCCAGGCACGGCTTTGTGCTGGGGGGGCTCCCTGTGTGCCCCCCGCACGCAGCCCCACTGGGACAGAGCCGCTCGCATTCTGCCCCGCTCCAACCCCGCTGGCTGCAGCCCCCCGGGCTCGCCGGGCAGCCACCACCGCCACCACCGGGTCCCGGGCTCACCGCGGGGCGAGCCGGGCAGGGAGGGGTGCACGGCTCACGCGTGGCAATCGGCTCGAGCGGCGAGCAGGAGGCTTCTGGAAAGGACCAGCAGCCCCCGGCCGACGCCTTCAGCTGCAACAGGGACATTTTGTCCACTTTTCTACATCTTCATCATCAGGAAGCGTTTGCGGGGCGCCTGGGGCTGCCTGGGGGGTGGGGGGCTGCGGGAGGCTGTGCTGCACAATGGGGCTGGCCTATTTCTGCGCCTCGCAGCCCAGTGGTCTTATTCACTCTGATTTTGTCTGCCTCCAAAGCCAGGTCTGGCTCCCGCTTGTTTATATCTGTCTGGAGGGCTCAGGCAGTAAAAAGCACAATCATTTTCTTGCTTCTCTGCCAGCATCTGCAGCAAGCAGGGAAAGAGAGAGAGAAAAAAAAAATCTTAAAGGGACTTTCTGACCTCAAAACAATCAAGTAACATTCCCCTCCTCCAGCCTCAGGGCTGCTGCTTTTTTCCAGGGATTCAAAGGACTCAGACCTCTTGTCGAGCCTGGCATCAGCCCACGACATCCACCCACAGCACAGGCAGAGGGACACGAGCCCCGTCTACACGAGGCAGTGGGGCACCGCGCCACGCCGGGGGCTCTCGGCATGACTCTCATACATCGGGGACCGAGCCCAGAGCCGCCTCTTCGCTTTGAGAGCACCCTTGGCTGCTGTTTTCTCTCCTCTGCCTTTCCATTTGCACGGCTGGAAAGTTCCTTTGCTGTGGATGCCGCCCGCCTGCTCCAGCCTAGGGCATGGGGCCGTGGGGGTCCTCAGCCCCCACCTGCAGCTGCTTGGCTGCCTCTGTGCCCCGGGGGCTTCACCTGCGTGCAGCCCACCCCAGCCCACCCCAGCCAAGCCGTAATGCCCAGCTCTGCCCCCCCAGCCCCGTGTTCCCACTGAGCCTCTCGAGGGTTTGCTCCGACCCGCTCTGCCTGTGCGGGATGCTCTGCGGCAAAGGGGCCCGGCGGCCGCCCTGCCCTCAGCCCTGCACAAACACAACCCGAGCCTCCCCCGGGGCCTGCAGTGCCCTGGGCAACACGCGGCCGCCTTTGTCTTGCCTTCTCCTTGCTGTCTCCTGCTCCCTGGCAGGTGACGGGGTGAAAGCCAGTAATTGCTCTAAGTGCAATCAATAAATCAAGGTAATAGAATTACATTTGCTGTTGCCATATTAGGAACCACTTCTCTTCTCTCAGCCTCTCTCCGCCCTCCTTGTTTTTGTTTTTAAACTGCTGCACAGCGCTGCAACAAGCTGGGCTCCTGCGTGCTCCTGGGGTGGCTGCAGCCCAGACCCAGCAGGGCTCGGTCCCCACAGGGCTCGGTCCCCACGGGTCCCCACACACGCTCCTGGCACACGCGAGGGCCCGTGAAGGTCACCAGCATTTTACTGCATGCCCCGTGCAGAGTGCTGTGGGGACGGGGGGAGCACGGGGGGAGCACGGGGGGAGCACAGGGGGCACGCCAGCCTGGCGCTGCAGCAGTGGAGGAACAATCACCCCACAGAGCTGCGGCTGGGCCCTGGGGTTCGGAGCTGCCGCACCGCAGCCAGCACAGCCCCATGCAGCCAGCACAGCCCCCACAGCCCCCACACAGCTGCAGCCCACGGGGGCTCAGGCTGCTCCCCTCTCCTGGACAGGTCCCCGGTGGCCAGGGGATCATTTTCATCTCGTTTCCAGCTGGTCTCAGGCTCTGGGGAGTTAGCTTCACATCAAGGGCTTTCCCTCAGGCTGCTTTTAATCATTACTTGAAGGCAACCCTCCAGGAGCCAGGACTGGACCATAACCCTGTGCTGGCACAAGGGAGCATCTCGTCACCCCACAGCCCCGTGGGGAGGGTCCTGCCCTGCCTTGGGGCCATCCTGGCCACCACATCCAGCGCTGGGGACAAGCCTTGGGGGACAGGCCAGGGCTCTGAGCAGGCAGGGCTGATTTCCACTTCTCAGGGGACATGGCTGCAGCCTTTGTGATGGCAGAGCTGCTGGGTGAGTGTCCTGAGAGCACCCCCAGGGCTGTGCCGCTGCGGGACGTGTGCCCCGCACCGCTCCCATTGCCCCAGAACAGGAGCGGTGCGGGGGCGACTGGGAGGAGCGGTGCCGGCACCCCGCTCTGCCACTGCCCGCGATTTGCATAACTTTGCTGAGCCGTGCCTAATGAATCTCCTTACACCTCTGGCACCGCATTAGGGGAATCGACATAAAGCACTCCCCAGTCCATGAAGGATTAATTAGGAGAGGAGGACACGTGCGCACACGGCCAAACACGCAAGCAGCAGTGCCGATCCCCGGCAGCACCGAGCCCAGGCCCGTGGCTGTCGCTGTGTCCCCGAATCCCCAGCAGCGGGCTCAGGGTGAGCGGGGTGGCACCCTGCGACTCCCCGAGGAGGGCTGCAAGCACCAAGCACACGGTGCCGAGGGCTGCAGGACACGGAGCGGGGCTGGGCGTGCTCAGGGACGGGTCTGCAGCCCCGCATGGCAGCGAGCCACGGGCACAAGGGGCACGCGGCCGGGGGCCCCGGGCAGGGCTGGAGCCGTGCAAGGCCGGGGCGTGGGGCAGGGGATGTGGGGCAGGGTCAGTGTGTGGGGCACGGGGTGTGGGGCACGGGGTGTGGGGCACGGTGCTTGTGGGGCACTGGGTGTCGGACGCGGTGCTTGTGGGGCACGGTGCATTGTACAAGCTGGGGGGCACCCGGAGGGGCGAGCCCTGCGGGACGCCGAGCCCCACCGGACGGGCAGCAGGGGCCGTGCCGGGAGCCGCCCCCGCTCCGCTTCCCCGGTGGGCGCAGGGGGAACGCGAGGCCGTCGCCCCCCGTCCTCCCCGCGGCCCCCACGCAAAATGGCGGCCGCCGGCGGTCACGGGGGGGGGAGGCGGGGACACCTCCCGGCATGCCCCGCGGCCCCGCCCGACGCATCCCGTCGTGCCTCGCGCCGCCCCCTTTGCGGGTGCCGCGGCGTCACGGCCCCGGCGGGACGGCCCCGCCCCCTCGCCGCTGCCGGCCAATCGGCAGGCGGGCTGCGGGCCGAGCAGCCAATGGGGCGCGGGGGCGCGGCGCGTGGCAGCGGACGCCGGAAGCGCTCGGTGCCGCCATCGTGCGGGAGGCGGGGGCGCGGCCGCGGGGCGGGGCGGGGTGGGCGGGGCCTGCGGGCCGGGCCGGGCCGGGCCTCCCTCGGCCTCCGCCGCCCTCCGCCGCCAGCCCCGGGCCCGGAGCTTCCCCCCCCTCCCCCCGCCGCCCCCGCGGGGCCCGGCCGGTCCCGCCGCAGGGAGGATGGGGCAGCCGCGGCGGCCGGGGAACGGCAGCGGCCCGGCGGCGCCATGACCGGCGAGAAGAAGAAGAAGAAGCGGCTCAACCGCAGCGTGCTGCTGGCCAAGAAGATCGTCATCCGCGACGGGGCCGGCGTGAGTGGCGGCGGCCGCGGCCGGGAGCGGGGCCGGGAGCGGGGCCGGGAGCGGGGCCGGGAGCGGGGCCGGGAGCGGGGCCGGGAGCGGGGCCGGGGGGCTCCGCGCCTGCCGCCGGGCCCCGGCGTGGCCCCGAGGCCGCCCCGCGCCGCCCGCCCGCGGCCGGGAGCCGGCGGGGCCGGGGCTCGGTAGCGCCCCGCGCAGGGCGAGCTGCCCCCGGCCCGCCTGGAGAGCCCCGGGCCTGCTCGGTGCGGGGGCAGCTGCCCGGCGGGGTGCGGCCGGGACCGGGACCGGGCTGGGCTCGGTGCCTGCCTTCCCCCCCACAGCCCGGTCGGTGCCGTGCCAGAGGCGGGTGGAGCGGGGCGGGAGGGGGGGGGGCGCCGCTGCCCTCCGCAGAGCGGTGGAGGAGCGAGGGGGTGACGGCCCCGTGCCTCATCACCGGCCCCGCGCCTCCCCCCGCTGGGGGTCGCCTCCTGCTGACGGCCGCCCCCGGGCAGGGAGCCCCCCGTGCCGGAGCTGCTGCCTCGTTTCGGAGGCAGCCGGTTCCGAGGCCGTTCTCACGGATCCCGTGCTCGGTGTCTCGGCACAGCGCCTTCCTTCCCTCGCGGCCCCCCCTGGGCTCCCCGTGTGGCGGCAGCGGGGGGGCTGTGGGCACCGGGGGGTTGGGCTGGGGGAGACGCTGCCCCTCACCTGCCAGGTTCCTGGAATTCCTGCCCCGGGTGTCCCTCAGCAGGGAGTGCAGGAGGTGAGGTAGGGGTAAAGGCGCAGGTTGGTCTGGCGCAGGGAGCGATTTCTGTATCGCCAGCACAGTGGAGGAGCGCCAGGTGGTTGTGAGCACGTTAATGGAAAAGCTCCTTCCCTGGGCCTGGAAGAAACGCCCCTGGATGTGAGGTTTGCGGTACCAGATCCAGGATCCATTTGGGTCTGGGATTTGTGCGGCTGATGGGAGTTTGTTTTTACCTCCTGGGTACCCTGCAAGTCACGGGGAGCTGTCTGAATTGCTGGGGTGGTTTCATCAGCGATGCATTGGGGCAAGGACGCGCCTCTCGCTGAGTTCAAACCATCGGGGCTAACACGAGGAGTTGGTTCCCTTTGAGCAGCACGCTGTGCTCCTGAACATCTGCTCTGTGCAGTTCCCCGATGTCATTCACGTGAAACCGGGGGGCTTTCCTCCAGCTCCTTGTGAGCCAGGGACTGCAGGCGTGTTTGCACGGCCACAGGAACAGCCGAGGGGAGGACAAATGCTGCCCCAGAAGTGCTGTGAGACCCTTAAGGAATGAAAGTTAGGCAAGGCCTGAGGGGTTCTGTGTTGTTTTCGTTTGTTTTTTAACTGATCCGAGGGCTTTGCCTTTCCCACCGTGCCAGGCACCTCCTAAATGCCTGGAATCTCTGCAAGTGCTGCTTCAAAATAGGCGTGGTGGAGGGGTGGAAGGACGGTGGCTTCAGTCACCTTTAGGGAAAGCTCAACGGTGTCAAAGGCGCTAATTCTTAGGAGGGGTGGGGAGGAAGAAACAGAAACACAAAAGCAGTTGGCTTTTAGGAGAGGCAGGGACTGGTAGAGCCCAGGAGGGGGAGGCTGCAGCGGGCGTTTGTCTTGGCCGGTCGCGAATCACCTCGAGGATACCCGAGGTCAGAGCTGGCGTTCAGGTGCCCAGCCACACGTCTCGAGTCCCAGCCCAGGATGTGTGCGTTGTTTAACGATGAGCTTTGTTTTGCAGCGACAGGGGATCGGAGAGCCCAGCGTGTACCATGCCGTGGTGGTGATTTTCCTGGAGTTCTTTGCCTGGGGCTTGCTGACCACTCCGATGCTAACGGTGAGTGCGTCTCCGTGGGGGCACTGCTGACGTGAGACCACCTTGGGATGCCGAGGGTGGAGGTAGGGATGCAGGCACTGGGAGTTAGGAAGTACAGATCAAGGTGTAGTGGATTTTTTTTTCCTGTTGGAGTTACAGTTGTGTTTTTTTTCTTAATGGTTCTGAGTAATTCTATCCTTATTTCTTATTGCTTTACTCCAAGTTAAGCAGGAGTTTGACTTCTGAAAGCTTTTGGAGGATTTCAAGAAAGGAGGGCTGTCAAATCTGAAAAGCCTGAAATTACTAGAACTTGCTTGTAATGTACTGCTGTTTATCACATTTTTAGGTATTTCAAAAGCAAAAGTGCATGTGGGAGCTTAATGAAAGCAAGCTGAGCGAGGCGTTGACTTCTTAACCAAAGACTGTGCCCCGTGCCCTATGCTGGCACTCCGCATCCCCTGCCTCTGGTTTTTGTTGAACCACTGCCACAGCCTGGGCTGCTGAGCACAGAGCTGATTTCCCTGCAGTTCCCGACCATGTCAGGTTGTGCTCCCTTCGTGAGGTCCCATCAGTGACTGGCTCAGGACTTAACAGCTGTGGTTAGCAGCAGCAAAGGCAGCTCCGCAGTTGAGCACAAAGTTAGGCTTTGGTTAAGGAGCTGGAAACTTCCGAGTGGGCAACCTCAGGAAAACTGCTCAGCTTCCTGAATTTGTTTTGTGGTGGTGGTGTGGCAGCTCGTGCTCAAGTCTAATGCGCCATGCACGTTTTTGAGCTGACCTCTGATACCTGGGTAACTACAGAAAAGGAGTCTTTGCTTATGTGTAGAGGTGTGTAATGGTAGCTTAGTAGAAAATGCAAATCAGACAGGTGGTACAAAAGTGGGAGAGAAGAACAGAAAAGTTTTGTGGTCTCATGTAGTAAACAGTGGGAAATCAGATGGAACAGGGATGGAGAAAGGCATGTTTCCAACAAGCTTAGCTTTGCCCACGCATTCTGGTATACTTTACAGACCAGAGAGGTGAGGTAGAGCTCCACGTGGAGACGCAGCAGCGGGGCTCTCATAGGGTGCTCCCTGCTGTGCTCTTCCAGGCTTCTGGCTGTCAGGTGCCTGCAGAAGTGGGTCGGTACCGTGTACAAGTTGCCAGCTTGCTCTTTCTCTTTTTTTTTTTTTTTTTTTTTTTTCTCACCCCTAGGTCTTACACCAGACTTTTCCTCAGCATACGTTCCTGATGAATGGCCTGATTCATGGAGTCAAGGTAAAGAATTTTCCTTCCACTCTCACAGGCACCTGTAATGAAGTCTAACCAGTGCCTGGGCTTGCATTTAGTCTGAGATGAGTGTGAGGAGGGACAAGTCATAATCCATGTCATTTGCTGATGTCAACTTGTGTTGACAGTGTGGATTGTTCACTGCCAATCCTAATGGAAGAGTTGATAGAGCAGGAAGATTGGGTAGCTCATGTAGCTGATTGACAGCATTGTGTGCTGTTTGGTAGTGTGGGTCTGGGGCTGTAGCAGCTGTGTGTTTCAGCAGAAGGTATTCTAGATCAGCATGAGATCAACCTTGTAACCATACTGCAGAGAATCACAAAACAAAAAATCAATGGAATGTGAACTAAGCTGGCCTCGCTGGGCTCTCTCTGAGCAAAGCAGGAGTGTGCTGTGGTACGGCAGGTGGACACAGTGGTTTGAACGAGGCAGGCATTCCCAGAACAGAATTCAAGGCAACCACATTGACCAGGTGGTAGCCACGTGTTCTGACTCAGGAGTATGGCAAGACAGGTTTCTGGGCACTGCTTCAGGCAGAAGGATCTCAAAAATGGCTTCAGAGAGGTTTCCTTGGAGGTGAGTTTGGCACGTAAAGGCTCTTCCCTGCCCGCTTCAGGTCTGAAAGACGTTGAAAGGCATTAAGCACAAATAAAATTGTTCAATGGCCTTGGCCAGGTCTGTCTTATCTCCAGCTATGAGAGAAAGCTTTCCCTAGAACCGTAGCAGATGTTAATGTGATGGAGCTGTGCCAGCATCTTTTTAGGTACTGGCAGGGTGACTCCCTGCTGCACGAGTGTGCATGGGAAGACCACAGCTGCAGGCTGAGCAGCTGCAGAGAGCGGGAAGTGATTGGGGTATTTAGCAGCGTCTAGCTGATAGAGGATTTGTTTCCCATTAAAAGGATGCGAGCAGTTTAATGAACTGTTATGTTTTGGTAACGTTGCCTGCTTGTAGAAAATAGGAATGGATTGTCTCCTCTTATTTTTATCTCCAGATTAAATCTTCAAAAGCTCTTGCTGTCAACAATCGGAATTTGACTAGGGGGTTTCTCTCTGTCATTCTGTCTCTTTTTTTAGGGTTTGCTTTCTTTTCTAAGTGCCCCACTGATTGGTGCTCTCTCTGATGTCTGGGGCAGGAAATCCTTCCTCCTCCTCACTGTCTTCTTTACATGTGCGCCAATTCCCCTTATGAAGATCAGTCCATGGTGAGTTTGCTCTTGTTACAACCGAGAGGTTCTTAGAAGAAGAGAGAGCGTGAAGCTGGGTGATGGAGGATTTGCTGGTGTTGCATTTGGGGGTGAGCTGGCAGTGGCTGTCCGATGGAGAAGGAGCCTGGGCACGTCCCCGTTCCTCAGCCTGGAGAATGATTCACGTGCCCAGTTCCACCGGAGGGTTCAGTTTCAGGAGGAAGTCTTTCTTACCTCACCTGCTGTCTGTTCTCCTAAGGGGTGTGTTATGGCTATCAAGGAATGTTTCCTTCCTGTGCCGTGCCATAAAATAGGGGGAAAACAGGCCATAAAACTTCATAGGCTGCGAGACTGAAGCTCGGTGTTACTGAACCCTTTGTGATGCAATGAAATAGGATGGACAGAAGGAAGAATACGTGAGAGGCAGTAAATCAGCAGGTGTAGACTTCACCAAGTGTTTGGTCTCTAACTTTGCCGTTGGTAACGTCTCTTTCAGGTGGTATTTTGCTGTCATTTCCATGTCTGGAGTCTTTGCTGTCACGTTTTCTGTGATTTTTGCCTACGTTGCTGATATCACACAGGAGCATGAGCGCAGCACGGCGTATGGCTTGGTAAGGAGCCAGACAACGGGCTTGCCTCTCAAAGGAAATACTTGGGGCTTCATGGTTAGGAGCGGTATAAAACTAGGCTGGGATACTTACTGACAACAAGCCTGAGCACCGTATCTGCTGCAAGATGATAGGCACGTCACTGATAACACTGATAATACAGTCTCCCTGTTCTCATTTCTCTGTGACTGAGCACAGGGAGTGAGCTAATTCCTCCAAGATTTGAATCCTAGTCCTATCATTGCCTGGCCTTCAAACCACCCTGGTCTGTCAGCTTCTTTGCACCACAGAAGAGGTCAGGCTGTGATGCCAGCATGTGTACAAGCAGCCTGTGATCATGCCCTTCCTATGTTGAAAGTACTGGATATGAATTGTTAGGATAGTTTTAATTGCCCTTTGCTAGAACTTACCCTAGATTGCACCAAGAGAACGTGCCATCTTCCTGTGTGCAGGAGTCCCGGTCCACCTGGATTATCTCCATCAAAGATGTCAAAATTAACACCCTCGGGTTACTGTGGAGGAGAAAATAGGCTCTACTAGGAATAGGCTGTATTAATTTTTCGTGCTTCCAGGTGTCAGCCACATTTGCTGCTAGTCTGGTCACAAGCCCAGCCATCGGTGCATACCTTTCCCAAGCCTATGGTGATACCCTGGTGGTTGTGCTGGCTTCAGGTGTTGCTTTGCTGGATATTGGTTTCATCCTACTGGCTGTGCCAGAATCCCTGCCAGAAGAAATGCGCCCAGTCTCCTGGGGAGCTCCAATCTCTTGGGAACAAGCAGACCCATTTGCTGTAAGTAATCTTGCTGCTGATTTTCTGCACTCTGGTAATATTTATAGGTGCTTTAGTTCTGCTATTTCTCTCAAATGAAAGATGAATTCCACAGAAGGTGAAGGTAAACACTCTGTTGACAGAGTTAAAGTGACAGCAGACTGCACACATCTAAAGCTGTCTGGCAGCTTCTAACTGACCTTGTGTAGCTACAGAACATCTAAGAGCAGCTCCAGAAGTCTTGCAAAAATTCCTCATTCCAGGGTAAAGGTTGATGTAATTTTAATATCTGGTCTGGTGTGCTGTGACTGTGTTCACATATTCACCTGAAATGCTGGGCGATCTTTGCTGTTTATGAGCACGAGGTGTTTATGGGGGGCTCTTCTAAATGAGCAGGTCTGGTCTGGTTCAGGCGTTCACTTCTTGGATATAAGGTGGTAGCTTAAACACTTCTACTTTCTCTGTACCTGGAAAATATGTAATGGTTTTAACTTTTTTTTCCTCCCCTTTTCTATAGTCCTTGAGGAAAGTGGGTCAGGATTCTACTGTGCTGCTCATCTGCATCACCGTCTTTCTCTCCTACCTTCCTGAAGCTGGCCAGTACTCCAGTTTTTTCCTGTACTTGCGACAGGTCAGTCTCTTGTGATAAGGGAAGGCTCCGAATGCAGAAACCTGGCCTAGAAATATTGTCTGAGCTGCATGTACACAAGAACCTAATCTTAGCAAATAGCTTGGTAAAGCTGAAACCATAATTAATAGTGACATGTTCCAGCTTTCCTAAAAAATGTGACCACTCTGTAGGCATTTTATTTTGGTGAGGTAATGGAACGTACGGTTGTTTAATGTTTAAGTGTCTGATAAGACGTGTCAATAAATGTTAGTGACATTGGTGGAGTGGCTTCCGTTGCATGGTACAAATGTCTTGCCTGAAAAGTCCCTTTTTGGCCCTTCTACAGGTCATTGGTTTTTCCTCTGAGACTGTGGCAGCCTTTATTGGTGTAGTTGGAATTCTCTCTATACTGGCTCAGGTGAGAAGCGATGCCTGTCTGTGCCCTAACAGTCTGGTTGTGAGAGTGTCCTAAGCTTCTGATAATGGGGGCAGGTGACTTCTCAAAATCCCTGTGGCCACTCAGACATCGTCAGTGCCACACGCAGGTACCTGTGGTCCCTCTGTTCTCGTCTTTTGGACGTAGCTCTTGTTGCTGAATACTGAACTGTGGTGAACTGTGAAGTGGCCCCGCATTGCTCTGTGAAACTCCATAGATTTAGCTCTGACTGCCATAAAAAGGACTGGGCTGGTTTCTATTAGAATGGAGGAGTGCCTGTGCGTGACAGATGGCAGCAAGAGTTCCCTGATTCCTGTCCTCTTCTGGCATTGTCATCTCTCTGCACTTACTCTGAAAGCACCTGTCTTTCTCTTACTTCCAGACAGTAGTGTTGGGAATTCTCATGCGTTCGATAGGAAATAAAAACACCATCCTGCTGGGACTAGGATTCCAGATCCTGCAGCTTGCCTGGTATGGCTTCGGATCACAGCCTTGGTAAGCATTTGCCCGCGCTGGTTTACTGGCGTGTGCAGGTTTCTCCCTCGGTGCCAGGTCCCTGTCCCCCACCAGAGGGAGATGCTGCTCCGCCTGCGGTGCTGGTCTGCAGCTGCTGGTCGGGAGCCTGCCTCCTGACCGCGGCCTCTTTCTCTCCAAGGATGATGTGGGCAGCAGGGGCTGTGGCTGCCATGTCCAGCATCACCTTCCCGGCCATCAGCGCCATGGTGTCCAGGAATGCAGACCCTGACCAACAGGGTAAGTACCTGATGATTTGTCTGATGGGCAGGCTCATCCAGCAGCACTTCAGATCACAAGTGTTCTACTTGGCATCGGTGGTGGCGGGGCGGGCAGCAGTGTTTGTGCCAGCTGCAGACTCTCTCTTTTTACTCCGTGGCAATGACACTGCCTGGTGCTTGGCCGTAGCTGGTGCTTTGGGAGGGAGTTCTTGAATAATGCATGCAGATGTTCAGGGTCGCCTGGCAGGGGTAGAGAGGAGACTGCTGTTTGATCATTCACCTGCTTCCATTTTGACCCTGAGCCCTCCGGCCTGGCTGCGTTAAACTCCAACTCAGCTCGAAGTTCTGCTGATGTGCCCTCCTCGTTCGATTTATTGTAGAAAGTGACAAGCACAGCATTACTTGTTTTTTGTGAAACCTGGTATTGTGCTAATCTAATTGCCAGCTCACCGCTTCATCTGTAGAGTGTGTGACAATCTAGACCTGAATGTTTGGTACTGTCTTTAAGTAAGTAAGCACCCTTAAATAAAATAAGTATCCTCAGAAAGCTGGAGGCAAATCTGTTTTTTCCTCACTCTGTCCCCAGGTGTAGTGCAGGGGATGATCACTGGAATTCGGGGTCTGTGTAATGGCCTGGGGCCAGCTCTCTATGGCTTTGTCTTCTATCTCTTCCACGTTGAGTTGAATGAAATGGCTGAGGTGGAAACTTTGGGTAAGGCCTCCAAACCTAACATGGCCAACCCGACGGATGAGGTAACCGCTTCGGCTTTCATTCGTTTTGTTGGGCTGCTTCTGTCCTTGCTCTAAGTGTTAACCGTTTCTCTGTTTTGCCCTACAGAGCAGCATTATCCCGGGGCCTCCCTTCCTGTTTGGGGCCTGTTCTGTCCTCCTGTCGCTCCTGGTGGCCTTGTTCATCCCGGAACACAACCTTGCACTGAGATCAGGCAGCCACAAGAAACACAGTAACGGCGCCCAGACCCATGCCCACAGCCCGCAGGCTGGAGGCTCGGATGGCAAGGAGCCCCTGCTGGAGGACAGCAGCGTATGAGGTTGGGAGGGAAGGACCTGGCTTGCGTCTCAACTCCAGATCGAGGATGGACTTAGCCGGTTGGGGCCTGGGGAGAGAGGGTGGGAGGCGAGAAGAAACGAGGTAACAGACTGTACCACTAACAGCTCATGTGAAGGGAAAGGGTTTCCCTTCAAGCCAAATACACCCAGCTGGTGCAAAAATGGAATTGTATCATCTGGGGCGGATGGAAAGGGGAGATACGGAACTGCTCCGCATGAAGGGATAGCTGTTCAAAGCAAACCTGCCCTTGTTGTGAACACTGAACTTCACGGTGTGACCTGCCAAATCCTCAGCTCGCCAGTGAAAAATTAAGGAGCTAGCATTGTCTTTGTTCTAATGTGAACTAACTCATGTGCCAGCCAGAATAAAACAAGGCATCTGTTACATGCCCCCGTCCCCTTATGTAACTGGTACTTGCTGCTGATCCCATCACAGCTGAGCTGGCCAACCTCAGCACGGGAGAGGCTGGGAAGCTGTTCCGCAGTGTGAGCAGCCCATGCTCCGGTAATACACCAGTAACAACTGTGCGTGTGTGGAGGAAGATTGCACAGCCAACAGCTGCAAGTAGGTCCTCGCTCCTTCGGCATGTGTTGAATTTGCCCGTTCTGGTCCAAGTGATGCTTAGACAAGAAATTGGTTTTGTTCTTAATTCCCAAGACGGAAGGGGCAGATGATAGCGAATTTTATGAATTACAAATGCTTAGATGGTCAACAACATTTGTATTTCTGGTTGGCGGGTTTGCTTGGCTTGGTTTTTGTTACGGTGATGTAACATTTGTCTGTCTCTACCTCCAGAGGTGGTAGGTAGAAGGATTTTTTGGAAACCTTTTTGTGGAACTGGAAAATAGTTCTTGGAAAGGTTGGAGGAACAAGCAAACTCTGCTAAGCACTTTGTTAAAGCGTGACTTCCTGAGAGAAAGGTCAGAGAAGTAGCTGTTGAGCACTTTTTATGAAGCATGTTGATTTTTTTTTTTTTTCCCCAGACTCTTGCCATCTTGATATTAAATAATGAGTGTGGTTTGTTTTTCTTGGTCCAAAAGAGCCTGTTGATGATTGCAATTGGTTTGAACTTGCAGGTTTGGATTCCACGTAGCATTTCTGAGCCTGCTCTGAAGGCTTTCATTTTGTTGAAAGATGAAGTTGCAACCTCTGCTGCAGGGTTCAGCTCAGCTTAGAAAGAGCAGCAGATACTTGAACTTGAGTGCTATGGAAGGAGCTAAGGCAAACGTGCAGGGAAACTTTGGTTGTTTATAGATACAGAGATACTGAAGTGGGCAGAAAACAGTTGTTCTCATTTGAGTGAGATCAGAGGTAATGGCATTGAGCAGTCAGTGGGGAAGTAAAGGCCAAACTGGGAACACTTAAGAAATTAGTTGCTAAGGGAATTGAGGGTACAGTGGCCAAAAATAGTCCTGTCTCGTCATGGGATCTGTGTAACAGCTGCCAAGTTCTCTGGTGGCGATCGATCCTCTGTAGGTTCAGGACAGGTAATTTAAAGGAGGAAGGCCAGAAGGGAGCCCTGACTTCATGTCTCGGTTCTTTGCAAATGGGTGATCGTGGCTGGTGCTGCGCCTGTGCAGCGCTGACCACAGATGCCATTTGCCTCTGGGTTTAATGAAGAATATCAGCTGGACAACCCTGAAGATCTCGGTGCCCTGAGCCACAGCAGGCACGAGCGTGGGGAGCAGCGCTGTCAGTTCCCTTCTGCTGGGCTGCCTGCCCCAGGAACGTGCAGGGGACACGAGCCCCGGGGTGTTTTCAGCTTCTGACCTCTTCCATGAGCTGTCAGAGGGAGCCCGTTACTGCCGGCCCTGGACAGATGGAGACCTGCAATTTTTGTGTATGTCCCTTAAAAGCCTGTCAGATACTCACAGTGTAGAATCCCTGCTTGCCTAGACTGGGCTGAATTAATAGCGTATCGTCTGTGTACCAATTGTCTGGACCAGTTGGTTACTGGAGGCAGACGTTCAGGTGAAGTCATTCCTGTTTTGTTTCTCGCTAAGCGTGGCTGGTACCCAGATCCTGCAGTCAGAGCGGTGAGAGCAGGTTATGTCCGAGCAGCTCCCTCGGACACCGAGGGTTTGCTTACGTGGATCCACTTCCAGGGCTGGAGAACAGAGCTAGCAGAAGGTCTCAGTGCGTGCTGGGTGCTCCAGTGTTCAGCTCGGTGTGGTGATGCCCCTCATCTCCAGACCCACCTGGGATGGGCTGCACTGCGTGTGCGCAGCTCACTCCCAAAGAATGCCCAGTCACATGAGCTGGGCAACAACCCCACCTCTACTGCTCACAGAAATAGCTTTGTTAGGCTGCAGTATCACCGAGTAAATCTGGCGATTCATTTATTTGCACTGCATTAAAATGAACTGAAGTAGTTTTGTCCCTCACGTACAAACGAAGTGGAATGAGACTGAATCGTTACCTCACGCGCACTGAGGCACTCAGCTTCACGGGTACAATATAGCAGAACGTTACAAAAAAGACGAGCGTAATTTATATATTATAAAGTATATAGATATATATTTTTAAAAGTCCTTTCCTTTATTTAATAGTTTATCGAGACAGATGCGTTTCTAATCTCATTCCCTTTGGCACCACTGCTGCTGCCGGCAGCGCCTCGGCTCCCGTTCCCTTCGGGCAGCAGAACGGAGCGGGCGAGCTCCACTCCTTGGTCCTCTGTCACCACGAGATATCGGAGTTCCCAGCGGTGCTGACATCCTCAGCACGTGAGTAGCTGGCCTGAGGTGCTCTGGGACGCTTCTTCAGCCCCCAAGCCTGGGGCCAGAAGATGCTGCAGGTCCCCGAGGCGTCTCTCAGCTGCAGGCTGCCTGCTGGAGAGGCTCCACCACCGAGGTCTCTTCACCTGCCTCTGCAGCACAGGAGCACCGCAGGGACTGCCCCGTAGTGCCAGGTAGCGGGGTGGAGGTGTCCTGAGCACCTGCCCTTTGCTGGGGCAGCACGGGGCCGGCTCACACGGGGGAAGCTGTGTCCTGAGCCCCCTGAGCCTGTGGTGCTGAGCACCTGCGCTGGAGGTGGGGCTGCCCGTGGCAGCGGGGCTGCTCGCCCTCCCCAGAGATGTCACTCGCGTGGGCGCTGTGAGTGGGCAGGGATTTGTTTCCACGTTTCTGGAGTTCCTTTCCCTTGGTTTGGTGGGGGCCCCGTAGCCCCCCGCGACTCCACTCCCTGTTAGGAGCAGGGACGTGACGCAGGGACGTGAGCCACCCTTCGGCCTTGTGAGTGAGAGGAGGGCTCGGGCCAGGCTGCGGCAGAGCTGAAGTTACTGGACCCGAATGAAGAATCTCTAATTCTGAAGGGCTGGTAATTCCACAGCGTCGCGTGGGGAGACTGGAACACGTGTACAGAGCACTCAGCATTGCCAAGTTTTGTTACTTTATATGAAAATGCAACTTTTTTAAAAGCCTTTTCTGAAAATCCCCTTGATCTGCGGTGTGATGCCTGAGCCTGGCTGTTCAGCGGCAGCACCCGACTGGCTGCAGGGAGCTGTAATTCAGGTCAGTAACAGCAATGCCTCAAACACAAGGCAAAAACGGGCTTAATTGCCCTTCGTCTGCAGCAGCACAGCTAATGGCAGCAGCTCAAGGGAGTTTAAAAATTGATCTTGTTGCATTAAACAAACAACGAACTAAACCACTGCTTTCCCTACTGCCGTTACTTTTGCAAATTAGTAACTTTTTACTTGTTTTTATTCTTTTCTTTGCACTTGAATGGCTGCTAATGTTTTATCATCTCTATAAAGTGGGGGCATGTGGCAAGCCCGTGTTCACCTAAGAATGGCTCTCTCTGAAGTTTGTTTACGATCACGTGCGTTTCTGTATCTTTTTTAAGCTAACAATGAAATGTGTTTATTTTAGTTCAAATTGTGTTTAGAACTGGCTAATCTCTCCCTCGGATGGATTATTTATTAAACTGCTTCTTTCCTGTTGTGTTGAAGCTCTCTGTTCTGATCAGTTTCCCCCGCCGGTGTTACCAGATGCCTTTTTGAGTCAGCCTCGTGCTTCTGAGCAGGACTTGTCTCAGCCCCCGGGGCTGTGCCGAAGGGATGGCTGCAAGCGCCTGCACCCGCGGCCATGTCGCTCTCATCTCTCCTCAGTGGGCACAACTTGTCCAGTTATTTTCACCAATTTCTTATAGATATTCTGGAAAAAAAGTACTTGCAATCAATTCAAATTCACCCCGATGCTAGCGCAGCTCTCCGGATCTTCCTTAGAGCACGAGAACCACGCTGTCCTCACGGCTCTCCCTGCCTTGGTGCCCCAGACCAGGCGCTCTGAGCCACGGCCCCGCTGCTCATCTCGCCGTGGGTGTGAGCAAAACCCAGGAGTTCTCCAGGCAGCACGTGCAGGCAATATTTGCAGTGCAGGGCCCCCTTTGGGATGTGGAGGGGGGAGGAAAATGCTCCACAAGTGCAGTCAGGGCTGGGGCTGGCGGCTTGGGCAGGCGGGGGCTTGCTCTCAGGTTTGGGTGAGCCCAGAGGGCTGCTGCAGCCCCGTGCTCAGCCTCCGTCCCTCGCTCCTGCCCTGAGCCGTTATCGGGGAGCGCCCCCGGACCCAGGTGGGGGCTGCAGCACGCAGTTATTAGCATCCCAGACCCCATTGTCTTCATTTCCAGGCAGGCTTAATTTAGATCTTATCTTCCTCATTTAAGGGGTGGTGGTTTATTTATTTTTTTACAGTGCTTGAGGACGGTGCTGCTGTGAACAATGTCACAAGAAGGATGAGCAGATCCAGTCAGACCTTGGATGGGATGTGCTGCTGGATGGCCGATATCCTGTAATGAGCTGGAAATGCAATTAATCTGCTGTAAAATGTAGTGCCTTTTGTATTTGTTTCCTCTGTGCTTTTGAGCTTATTGTAGTTTTTTTTTTTCCTACCTTTATGGGGGTGGGGGCAGACCTCAGCTTGACACAGCATCAGTGCACTGGAGGAAAAAGGAAGGCGTGCATAGTGCAAGTACAGCCTAGAATTCAAAACAGCTTTTTCTGTTTTCTCTCTTATCTCTTCTTCTTTTTTTTTCCTTGTATCGGGTGTTGGTGAGTGCTGGTGCTGACGGCTCGGCGGCGCGGTGGTATCCTGTGCTGGGGGCCAGCGCCCGTCCCGCTGCCGTCGCTCCGTCGCTCTGCCGAGCTGTTTTGAAGTTTGTTTCCTGAAAAACGCCTCCGGGACGAGTCTCGCCGAGCGAGAGTCCTCCCGGCTGTCAGGAAGGCGTGTGCTCAGCATCCAGGAGGAAAGTTTGAGCAGTTTCTTGAAAGTCATCGTTCCCTTTGCGCTGACCCTAAAGGTTTCCTGTTTCTTGGAAGTCCCAAAGTGCCTCAGCCTGCTCTGCCCGCCCGGTGTCTGTAACTCGCAGATCTCGCTCTCTTTTTTTGCCTTTTCTGGGGGGAGGCAGCTTTGTTCTCAACAGATGAAAAGTGTCACTCGTGTGCGCTTCCAGCCTGGGGAAAAAATCCCTCGAGTCCCGCAGAAGGGGGGAGCCCCTTCCTTCCTCCAGCACCCACCCTGCCCCTGCCCGGCAGCTCCCGGCCCCGCTGCCCCCCTGCCCGTGGCTCCGAGCACTTCGCAAGTCCTGCGGCTCTGGTGGGCCGCTGTGCACATGGGGTTGTGCAGGCCTGGCCCTTCCCTCCCCGGCTGCCTGCTGCAGCCCTTGCCACCCTCTGTTCCTCTTCACCTCCTGGAGAAGTTTCCTTTCTCTCTTGCTCTCGAGCACCAAAGAGCATCTTCCTGGGCAGCAGAAATGCCTGGAAATAACCACAGCAGCATCCCCGGGGCTCTGGGGAAAAAGGATGAGGAGGTGGTTTCCCAGCATGGGCGCTGCCTGGGGCACTCACTCATCCTTTGTGCTGCTGGGCGAGGGGTGCCCAAAGGGACGACTCCCCCACGGTCTGGGGGGAGCGTGGGCGAGGGCAGTGAGCACCCACGGCTCCCCCAGGGCCGGGCAATGGCAGGGGCCACAGGTGGCTGAGGGGATGTGGGTTTAGGACACGGAGGGCCCAGCGAGGTGCCTTAACACACCCAAACCTTGTGCTGGTGGCTCTGGGCTGCGAGGGCAGGAGTGAGGAGACTCCAGCACCGCTGTGGGTGTCCCCGCAGCACCCCCGGCATCGCTGCTGGGAAGAGCCCGGCTGGCGCGAGGAGCAGCCCTGCCCAGGGCTCGCCCCACTGAGGGGACCCAGGGTCAGAGGCCCCCATCTGTGGACCACGGCAGCTGCTGGAAGCTCTGGGAAGTGGCTCTGTTAACACAGGATGGAAGGAACAAAACCCCAGAGCCATTAATCACTGTGGCTTCAGCTGAATGTGCATATTCTGGTGGCAGCTGTTTACAGAGCACTTCCCCTGCCAGTGGGAGGCCTCCAGAACACGCCCGCTGGTTAATTGCCTCCGTCCCAAAAGGACGAGTGGCGTGCCCTGTGCCTGGAGCCACTTCTCAGGAGTGTTCCCACAGGGGAAGCGGCGGGTTCCCGTGGTTCCCGCACAGACTTTCCACCCCCTGCAAGGGGAGGTGTGGGGGGAGCAGGGGCATGCCCCCCTTTGGCACCTTCCCCAGCCGCCAGCCTGGCGGGATGGGATGGGCCCAGCTGGGCCCGACTCTGCCCGGGGAGCTGGGTAAGGACGAGGAAGCGATGCCAGGACTGCCCTGGGAGCAAGGAGAGCTGCTGAGGGTGGGTAACGCCAAGCCAACATCCACATGAAAACACTTCTTCCTTCTGACCTATAAAACCATCTTTCCCACGGACACCTACTTTTGTCCCTAAAAACAACAACTGGGAATAACTGCTGGGTGCAGCCCCTTGGGCTGGGTGCCTCCTCCCCACGCCCGGGGGCTGCGCCTTCACAAGTTCACATCTCGGCCCCGAGCGCGGCGTTGGCTCCGTGTTTGGGACCGAGGGGCTGAGACGGGCTCTGGGGGACAAGCGGCTCTCCCAGCTCAGCAGGGCCCTGCTGGCCCCGGGCAGCGCAGGGTTGGTTTGGGGCTGTGGGGGCAGTGGAAAGCCAAGCACCCTGTGTCACCCCGCTCACCTGGCTGGCCCCCGGGCGATTTATTTCAGCTCCTGTTCCTGCCTGGAGCACCCCTGGGTGTCTGGGGTGAGCTGGGGCGGGAAGGCAGCCTGTCCTCCCCCTGCATGCAGCCTCTTGGCACAGCAGGAGTCAAATCCCCGTGTTCTGGGGGGTTCCTGCTTGCTGGAACATGGGGCACCTGGCGGCACCCGGGCAGCCCGCACCGTGGCCAGATGGGGTGCGGGGAGAGCCGGGCAAGGGCCAGGTCTGGGCGAGTCTCAGGGCACCGCCGCCTGCCCGAAGCTGCCGGGGGGTGCGATGCAGCAGGAGCCCCACAGGTCTCCTGGGCAAGGGGCTGCAGAGCTGGGTGGGAGCTGAACTTTGAACAAAACGAGAAACCCCCTCTGGAAATACCCCGCTGGCGGGAAGGCCGGGGGCGGTTCTTGCAGGGCTTTAAGAAGGGCTGGGGACGGGGCTGGCAGCCAGAAGGGGACAGCCCCAGCCGGCAGCACTTGCTCCCCGACGAGAGGGAAGGAAGGAAAACCTCGGCTTGCTGCTGCCTGGCCCCGCGGGCGATGGAAGCGGCTCCTCTCCTCCTCCTCAGCGCACTGTGGGGCTGCAGCGGTGAGTGCCCGGGAGCCGTGCCGGTCCCTCGCCTGCTGGCCCAGGGCTCTGCTCCATGTGCCACCAGCAGAGCTCCTCTCCTTGCTCCTCACCCCTGCACCCAGAGCTGTGGTGCCCGTGGCTGCTGTGTGTGTGACGGTGTGGTTCTGCTCCTCTGTGCTGCCAGGGGAGCAGCAGCGCTCCCTGGATGAAAACTGAGGCGAGAAGGGGTGCCAGGGCTCATCACAAAACGGCTGGCAGGTCTCGGTGGTGGAGTCTGACCTGGCTGCGATGCCTGCGCTGTGGTGCCCTGGCTGGCTCCTGCTGCAGGAGCGTTGGCTGTGATGAGCCGCCCCTACGAGCTGTGCCCCCCACAGCCATGGGAAGGGCGTTGGGTGGTGCCCGAGTGCGACTGTTCAGCAAACAGGGAGCCAAAACTGTGTCTGCTTCGCTTTCTGTGTCTGTTCCCCTTGCTAACGCCCCACGGTTCCTCTTCCTTCTCCCAGGACGACCGCTCGCCGAGATGGTGGTGGAGCCACGGGAGCCGCTGGTGCGGTACGGGGACGCGGTGCAGCTGAACTGCTCGCTGCCCTGCACGGGCGCCATGGTGCAGTGGAAGGGGCTGGACACCAACCTGGGCAGCATCGACTTCTTCCCCACCCACAGCGTCCTGCACATCAACAGCGCCGAGGTGGCCACGGAAGGCACCAAGATCTGCCAGGGCACCTGCGGCGAGGAGCACTACCAGAAATCCGTCAACCTGAAGGTTTACTGTAAGCACCCCTACCCCTTCCCCCGGCACCCCCCCTGCACCGCCCTGAACTCCCCAGGGCCGTGGGAAGCGGGGCCGAGGGTCACTTTTTGCGCTCCCCGCGGTGGTTCCCCTCGCAGCCCTCCCGGACACGCTGCAGCTCGATGCTCAGCCACCTGCCCTGGTGCCGGGTCAGCCCGCCACACTGCGCTGCTCGGCCCAGCGCGTGTACCCCCCCGGGAAGCTGGAGGTCACCTGGTACCGGGGGGACCAAGAGCTGCAGAGGGATGGCCCTGATGCAACGGAGACCGATGAGGAGCTGTTCGACATCGAGGCCACGCTGCGGGTAGCAGGGGAGGACGTGGTGGAGGGCGTGCTGTTCAGGTGCAAGCTGACACTGACTGTCAGGACGGAAACCTTCACCCGCGAGGCGTCGGTGGCTGTGAGCGCAGGGGGTGAGTGCCGGGGCTGGAGCTGGGGGCCCTGCAGTGCCCTGTCTGCTGGAGCCCACCCCCACCGACAGGCACTGCTTGAAAGCACTGCAGGAGGGTGACAGCACTCCTTGCCGTGCTGCACTGCTGGTCCCCCGTCCCCGCTGCTGTGCTGGAGGTGCCGCTCTGCTGCTGCTCCCTGCCCAAGGGTGCTGTGCTCGGGGGGGGGGGGAGGCGGCCAGGGCAGGCAGAGGGGGCATCGCCACGGGGATAACGTGAGGGACGGGCACTGCCACGGCTCTAAGGCTGCCTGGGCCCCTCTGTGTTTGCAGCTGTGGCAGAGCAGCCGGCAGCCGTGGTCACCTCCACGGAGAGCCCCCGCACCACGACAACCACGATGGGGAGCCTCAGCACCACCAGGCCTGTGCCCACCACGGCGCTGTCCCCAGAGCCGGGTGACCCCACGCGTGATCCCACCTCAGCCCTGACCACTGCATCGCAGGAGCCCAAGACCACCTCAGAGCAGGCTGCTGCTACTGAACCCCCCCCAGAGGAGCGCTCCACTCCTCAGGCCCCCGTGGTGGGCAGCCCCTCCGCACGTCCGGCCACTGCCACGGTTCCCAGCTCCAGCCCCACGAGCCCCCCAGCCGGGGGCCTGGCCGAGGCAGAGGGCACGGCTGCGGGTGGCACCAGCCGGGGCTCCCATGCAGTGGGGATGGGGACAGCACCCGCCTGCAGCCTGCGGATCTGGTCGCTGCCTCCCAACGGGACGCGGGGCAGGGCCCTGAGCATCGGGTGCCACGCGCAGTGCGCTCACAATGCCACCGTCCGCTGGCTGCGCACCCCCGTGGCCCTGTCGCAGTACCGGGAGGAGGTGGCGGGCAGCGGCTCCACGCTGCAGCTGGACCACGCTGAGCCCCGGCACCAGGGTCACTACCAGTGCATCCTGCAGGGCCACCACTCCCAGGCGGTCAGCCTGCAGCTGGTGGTCTCGGATGGTGAGTGCGGCTCCGCGGCCCCTGCATTGCCCCCCACGCACATCCCCCTGTGCTGGGGCTTTGGGGCATTACACTCAGCCCCGGGTGCCTGCGTCTACCCGTCCTCCTTGTGCCTTTGCAGATGTGTTCAGCGCTGACCCTGCCATAGCCATGGGGACAACGATGTCACTCCTGGGACTGATAGTGACCGGCGTCGTATCTCGTCGCCTGTGGAAGCGATTCAAGTCGCAGTATGAACTGTCCTAAGAGCGGGGACTGCCTGTCACTGCCCCATCACTGCACCAGTCCCTGCCGTCGTCCTGCCCGCTGCGGGGCTCTCCCGGCGGCAGGAAGCCGAGCTCCGACGGAGCCGGGCAGCCCGGCCCCAGCAATGGGACCGCAGGAGCTGGTGGGGCGCAGGGTGCTGCCCTGAGACCCCACAAAGAGCGGGCCCGGGGGGAGCTGCCCCTGCACCTCTCTGAGCACGGCCGCCCCTGCGCTCCCTCGCCCCAGGCAGGCCCTGGAGGCCGGCAGGGGAGCAGGGCCGGGACCTGGGACCTGCGAGCGGCTGCCGCTCCTCGGGGGCCTCCCTGCGCCCAGCGGTCCCAACGGGGCTGCGATGTGCGAGGCCGCAGTGTCCCCACAGCCCCGCGGCTCCAGCCGAGCCCCGACGGGGCGGTGAGAGGGGGTGGCCGGGGCCAGGAGGGACCCGGGGAGCTCAGCCGGGGCCACCACAGGCCCAGCACCGCCGCGGGTGGCAGCAGCTCCACACGGCCGGCGGGCGCTGGGCGTCAGAGAAGGGCACCACAGGGCGCCAAATAAAGGCTGCGTTGGGTGCTCTGGGCTCACTGGGCTGTGTTTGGGTTCATTTGGGTGTTCACTTTGGTGCGTTTGGGCTTATTGGGATGCTTTTGGGTTTGTTTGGTTTTATTCGGATTATTTGTGCCCTGAGGCTGTTCCCGTGGCTCTGTCCCGCTGTCCCCAGTGGAGGCCGCGGCCACGCCCGGCAGCGACAGCGGCGGCCCCACGGCCCCGGCCCGGCCCGCGGCGGCGCGGGGCCCCCTGCCCGGAGCAGCCATGGCGACAGGGGCTCCTCGCGGCTCCGTTGCCCACACTCAAGATGGCGGCCCGCGGCCTCGCCCGACGGCGGCGCCCCAGCGCCATGGCAACGGCTTCCCTCCCGCTGATTGGATGCGCGAGGCGAGGACGGCGGCGGGTTCGCCACGCGGATTGGCTGCCAGTGCTCAAGATGGCGGCGCGGGAGCTTCCTGCCCCGGCGGACTGCTCCGCGCGCGGCCAAAATGGCGGGGGCCGCCTTCGCCGCCCGCAGCTAAGATGGCGGCGTACGAGAAGCGGCGGGCGGCCGCCGCCCCGGCCCCGGCGGTGGGCAGCGGCCCGGCGGAGCCGCTCGGTGCGGCGGCGGGCGGCGGGCCGGGGAGCGAGGCGGAGTTCCTGCTGCGGAGCGGCGTCACCGCCATGGTGCGGGAGGCGCTGCTGAAGGTGCTGGAGGCGCGGCCCGAGGAGCCGGTCTCCTTCCTGGCCGACTACTTCGAGCGGCTGGTGCTGGGCGGCCCCGGGGCGGCCGAGACGGCCGCGGAGCTCCCGGCGCCGCCGCAGCGCCTGGCCCGGGCGCTGTGGTACGTGCGCCTGGCCCACCACTCCCACAGGTGCGGGCGGGCGGCGGAGGGGAGCGGGCGGCGGACTACGGCTCCCGGCGTGCCCCGCGGCGGCGGCGTCGCGCGCGTCCTTGGTCGGGCGCCCCGGGGCACGCCGGGAGCTGTAGTTCTGGGGGGGGGGCCCTTGGTAAGGCCGTGTTTTGTGCTCCGTGTCGCGGCAGGACGGCGTTCAACAACAACATCAGCACGGCCTACGAGGTGCTGGGCGCCAGCGGGCGGCGGCGGCGGCCGGGCGTGGACGGGCGGCTGTACAGCGAGCTGCTGCGGCGCATCTGCCAGCTGGGGGCCGCGCCGCAGGAGGTGTCGGGCGCGCTGCTGCGCAGGGTGCAGTGCCGGGACCACGAGGCCGTCCCCTTCGACGTCTTCCGCTACGGCGTCCTCACCTGCTCCGTGCTGCTGGAGTTCGTGGCCAAGGCGCACGCCCTGTACGACGTGCTGGACGGCGGCACGGGCGCGGCGGACAAGAGGGTCTGCCAGGCCGTCCTGCGCACGCTGGAGGAGGCGCTGGGAGGCGGCGACTGCTCGGTGCCCGTGCGGTACCTGGAGGCGGGCTCCAAGCTGGGGCCGGACTGCTTGGCCCTGGCCATGGACCGGGCGCTGCAGGAGAGGAAGCTGAGCGCCTCCATGAGCAGGGAGGAGTTCCTGAAGAAAGCCACGGCCTTATTTGTTGCAAAAGTGAAGCCTGTTGACTAACGTCCAGGTGGGAACAACACTCGCTGCTTCCAGTTGTAATTCCCCAAGTGCTTTGGGCAGAGCAGTTTGTGTTACGGAGGCTTCAGTCCCTGGAACCGAGCTGGGCAACGAGGCATGAGTGGGCTTGGCGGGCACTGCCTGGTGAGCCCTGGGTCTGCTTGAAGGGAGGCTGCTCATTTCCATGCTCCTTTCCTTGTTCTGAGCACTCCAAGTGCCCACTCACCTCTGGCACTTGATGTTTCCATGTCTATCCTAGCTGTAGCTCCTCTGTTTCCTGCTGGCATCAGAAAGTCATTTTTAGGCATTAACTGGGAACTTGTGAGGAGGCCTGTAAGCTGTAGGCCAGTGTTAGCAATTAAAAAGGAGCCAGAATGAACTCAGAATGAACTGCATGTGGGGCTGCATCTCCAGATATGCCGCAGTTCCAAGCTAGGCCTGGCGATGTTGTGTTGTGCAGCTTCAGCAGGGAGCTTTGTCTCTGCGTTTGGGTTTGTTTGACCCCTGCCTGTAAAGCGCAGGATGATGCTTCACGGACTGTGGAGAGGATTCGCAGGTAAATACTGGGTTGATAAAGACGTGAGATAAAGATTGTGTGTTAAGAAAAATGTTTTAATTGCACAGAAGGTGAGAAGTGGCTGGCGTGGAGGAGCTGATAGCCAGGGCTGGGCTGCAAAGCTCCCGGTGGCGAGAAGCCGCTCGCTGCGGGGGGGGGGGGGGGGGGGGGGGGGAGCTGCCGGGAAGGGTCCCCGAGGGGGGCGGTGCCACTGGGGGGAGGAGCTCACTGCTGGCCCCGCCCCTCTCCGCACGGCGCGTTCTGATAGGCGGGCGGGGCTGGGAGGGTGGAGCCCTCGCTGGCCCCGCCCCCCGCGCTCGGACTACAACTCCCGTGGTGCCCCGCGCTCCCCCAGCAGCGGGCCCCGGTCCCGGCCGCCCCGCGCCCGCCGCCCCCCGGTTCCCCCCCGGTTCCCCCCCCCCCCGGCATGGCGGGGCCGCCCGTGCCCAGCTCGCAGAAGGCGCTGCTGCTGGAGCTGAAGGGGCTGCAGGAGGAGCCCGTGGAGGGCTTCCGCGTGGCGCTGGTGGACGAGGGGGACCTGTACACCTGGGAGGTGGCCATCTTCGGGCCCCCCGGCACCGACTACGAGGGCGGCTACTTCAAGGTGGGGGGGGCTGGAGGGGGAAAGGGGCTGAGGGGGTCGGGGGGGGCTGGGGACGGCCTGGGGGGGGCGGGGGGCCGGGCTGGGGGGGCGGGTGGGGGCAGGGGAATGGAGTGGGCAGGGGGCCCCTGGGGGGCCCAGGCACGAGGAGCCCCCGTCCGGGGCCGTGGGGAGCCGCTGGGTGCGGGGGGGGCGCCGCCGATCCGCTCCGGGGGGCTGCGCCTCTGGGTGCGCCCCCCCCCCCCCAGGGGCACCCCGGGCACCGCCGCCCGGCTGAGGGAGAGGGGAGGGGGCGAGCAGGGCCGGGGGGCGCCCCCCGCACAGCTCCGGCCGAGCCGGGGCAGCTCCAGCCCCGCGGGGGGGCTTCTGCTGGGGCTGGGGACGGGGGGGGCGCGGCACCGCACAGCCCCTGCCTGGGGACGGGTGTCTGTGGTGTGTGTGTGGTGTGTCCGTCTGTCCGTGTCTGTCTGTCCCTGTGCACGCTTCCAGGCGCTGTGCACCCCCAGCCTGAGGCCCCGAGCTCTCACATTTCCTGCTCTGTACCGGAGTTTCCCGGCCTGACGCTGTTCCGTGGCGGTGGGGGGGGGGGGGGGAAGGGGCCGTGTCCTCATTTTGGGCTGGTGGCAGCGTCACCCTGCTGCTGTGCCGCGAAGCACGGCTGCGTTCGGAGCCCCCCCGGGGAGGGCTCTGCCTGGGGGTGGTTTTGTTCTGGTCCTCTCCAGGACAACAAAGGGAATTGTTCTGCCCAGTTCAGCTGCTGGGCCCCAGCACAGGGCCTTGTGCTGTGCTGTGCTGGTGCCCTGGGTGCCCACCCCCGCCCCCCCTTCGCTGCTTCTCCCACACCGCAGGGAGGGGGCAGACAAAGGGCGGCCCTGGAAGGCTGCAGGTAACGAGTTCAATGAGGCAGAGCACCTCTGGGGTCACCGGGCTGCTCTGACTCGCAGGGGTCTGCTCGAGCTGGGGGGCGTGGGGGGCAGCGGGACACGGACCCAGGGCTCTGTTTGTGTCTGCGCTGAGCTCCCCGCGGGTTTGGCAGCGCCGCGCGGCCTGAGGCTGGAATTCCAGAAGCAGCCAAAGCCTCGTGTGCAGCTACTGCTCCGAACGGGGCCTGCGCCCAGCTCGGGGGTCCCAGAGCAGTGATCCCATCGGCACCGGCCCCCAATGGATCCGAGTTCTAAATTCTGGACAAGCAACAAGCGTTCAGAGCTTTTGTCTCAAACCCTGGCGGCTCCTTTCTTTTGCCTGTTGGCTTTTTTCGGGAGCGGTGGCAGGATCTCCTGGCAGTTTGCTTCCAGAGGCTGGGAGCCCCCCAAAGCCCCAGTGGCTGCCACGGCTCGTGCAGCAGCGCGGGGAGGAGCAGCCTCGTGGGGAGCCCCTGCAGGGGGGGTGGGGGTGCTGCGGTGCTCCTCTGAGCATCCGCAGCTTCGGGGGGACTCCGAGGCCAGCGGTGAGCCCCGGCCTGCCCCATCGACGTCCCTGCAGGGCCCGGTGGGCGCTGTCGTCCCTGCTGGCGCTGGCCGTGGGCCGCTGCGTGATCTTCAGCTGCGTTTATTTTTAGTGCCTGAGCTGTGCAGCGCGGCCGGCTTAGGGCTGGTCTTTATTTTTTTGTTGTTGACGAGCTATTTTTAGGGGTTTGGCACGTCGAGCAGAGCACCAAACAAGCACCTGGTGCTTCTTCCCGTTCAGCTCTGGAGCACGGAGTCTGCGTCCTGGCTGCCAGCTGGAGCCGTGTCCCCTGCGGCTGCTCCAGGGCTTTGTCCAGGGCTGCTGCCCGGCCTCGGGTCCCGCTTCCACCCCCGTGTCACAGCCGCCCGCTGCCTCCCTCCGCCGGCCGCCTGATTGCAAAAGGGGGAGGCAGGGGAGCGGCTGGCGGAGGTGGAAGTTGTTTCTCAAGGGCTTTGGTGAGAAAAACATCCGGGGAGTCGCCTGCGGTGCCTCCTTGTTTGCCGGTCACCCCCCAGGGCTCCCCCCCAGTGGCCACCAGCGGGCGCAGAGGCTTTGGCTGTGCTGCTCGGGGCCTGGCAGCGGCTCCTTCCTCCTTGGGGGAGCGGCAGGTCCGGGCCTCCCTCCTTTCGCTGCCTTCTCACAAGCCGGTGCTAACTCCTCGCTGTTGTTTCCTCGCAGGCTCGTCTCCGGTTTCCCATCGACTACCCCTACTCTCCCCCTGCGTTCAGGTTCTTGACCAAAATGTGGCACCCCAACATCTACGAGGTAGGTGGTGGGGGCAGTGCAGAAGCTGCTTGGGCAGACAGGGAGGGGGCGTGGTAATCTCGGGATTAAAATCCCAAGCCCTGGTCACGAGCACAGCAGTGGAAACCCTGCGCCTTTGGCATTTGGTGCCTGGCCTTGGATAAGGCAGCTGACGGAGGCTTTTACAACCGCCTGCCTCCTGTGCCAGAGCTGCTTCCAGGTTGCTCAGCCTTCCCAGGCTGGGGGACTCCTGTGTGTGCCTGGCGGGGACACAGTGCCTGAGCCAAGGCTGGGTGCAGGGCTGGGGCTCGCAGCTCCCTGCGGCAGCAGCTCTGGTGGGGCCGTGTTCAGGCGCTGGGCAGCTGGCGGCTCGGCAGCTCCGCCTGTACTGTGCTGCCTGAGGGGGCAGAACGGGGACAGCTGGCTCTGCTGCCCCTCCTCAGGGACCAAAAGCACGGGCTGGGACTTGCTCACATCATTTAAGCCAAAGGGAAGAGAGAACGGGCTGCCTGGGGGGATGCTCGGGCCGGGAGCCCCCCTGAGGACGCCGCTTTGTGCGTGCTTTCAGACCGGTGATGTCTGCATCTCCATCCTGCACCCGCCCGTGGACGACCCGCAGAGCGGGGAGCTGCCGTCGGAGCGCTGGAACCCGACGCAGAACGTGCGGTACGGGGGGGGGCGCAGTGCTGGGGGTGGTGCTGGGGCTGGGGGGCGCAGCGCGGCTCTCACCGCTCGTGTTGGCTGCCAGGACCATCCTCCTGAGCGTCATCTCGCTGCTGAACGAGCCCAACACCTTTTCTCCTGCCAACGTGGACGCCTCTGTGATGTACCGCAAGTGGAAGGAGAGCAAAGGGAAGGACCGGGAGTACACGGACATCATCAGGTGCGTGGAGGGGTCCCTGAGCTGTCATGGTGTGGGGCTGAGGACGTGGGCACGCAGCAGGCGCTGTGCCGGCACGGCCGGGGCTGTGCTGTGGGACTGGCGTGGCAAAGGGGCCCCGAGGGCATGGGGCGCCCCCAGTCCTGGCTGCGTGACCTTCCAGTCAGGATGAGCTGTGTCCCCGGGCTGAGCCGCGCGGTGCCCAGGCTGTGCGAGCCCCTCTGCACTCACCCCCTGCTTCTCGCCCCCCAGGAAGCAAGTCTTGGGGACGAAGGTGGACGCTGAGCGGGATGGCGTGAAGGTGCCCACCACGCTGGCAGAGTACTGCGTGAAGACCAAGACTCCGGCCCCAGACGAGGGCTCGGACCTGTTCTACGACGACTATTACGAGGACGACGAGATGGAGGAGGGAGCAGACAGCTGCCACGGTGACGACGATGACTCTGGCAACGAGGAATCTTGATGGCCCCCTGGCGTTGCGAAGCGTACTATAAACTACTGAGTTTTACCTCAACTAGGACAAACTGGTTTGAATTTAGGATCTGTCAGCCCTGAAATTAACTCTCTACCTCGCAGGGAGACTGTTCTGCTGTTGCAAAGGAAACCCCAGCGCTGTCTTTGTAGAAGAAGCAAAAAAAAAAAAAATCCCTATTTTATAAACTGCCTGGGTGGGGACGGGGAAGTCTCGCTGGGGCATTCAGGAGCCCACAGCCGCGGGGGGGCTGGCGGCTCTGCCTGGCTGCTCGGGCACGTCCAGCTCCTCCCGAGGTGCAGTGTGGGGAGGCCGTGGAGCTGGGAGCAGGGAGCTGGGAGCAGGGGAGCTTCTGTGCAGCTTTCTGTAGCCTCCGGGCCGGGAGGGGACTGCGGGGGGGTGGTTGGGGGGGGGCACAGCTCCCCCTTCCCTGCTGTGAGGCTGCCCCGAGTGGGACCCCGCTGCCGCCCCTTCCTGCAGGGGGCCGTGGGGCAGGCCGTGGCTGTTGGCAGCTGGGAGGGATGGGGTAGTTCTGAGTCTTTCTGCTTCTGTTTTTTTAGAAACTATTTAATAAAGCGCTTTAAGGGAGCGGCTGTGTGGGTGCCTGGGGCTCTGCCTGTGGTAGCGGTTTCTGCACCAGCTCCTGCCCCGCCTGCAGCCCCGGCAGGCAGAGGTGCTGCTCCGAGGGCTGTGGGGGGGGGGCAGCAGCCTCATCCCTCCCTCCCCAAACCCTTTGGCCAGGTCTTAAATGCGAGGGCAGAGCTGGGTTCAGGCGGCTCTGCGTGCCCCGTGCCTGCCCAGGCAGCGCCTGCCTGCCCCGGGCTTGGAGCGGGGGCCAACGAGGCCCAGGCCGCCCCCCCCCGGTGCCTCTGATCTGGGTGCAGCCGGGCCCTGCCCCGAGCCCATGGGCTGGGTCCTGCCGGGCTGCGCAAGCTGCTGGGGCCCTGCTGGGCTCTGCCCCCCCCCAGCTCTGCTGTGACCACACGAGAGCTGCGTTGCTGGCACCTTGCTGGGCTGGGGGGGCAGCGCTGCTGCCGGGCCCACCCCCGGGGCTGCAAAACGCCTGCCTGGGGCCTCTGCTGGCTCCGCAGGGCTCCCGCTGTGCTCCCACCTCGGTGCCGAGCAAAACCTCCCCCTGCCCGCTGTGGAAGTGGGGTAAGGCTTTGATCGACGCCTGCGCCCGCACGCGGTGGATGCATGTGCTTCATTGCCTCAGGAAATGAGGCTAAAAGGTGAAGAGGATTAGTGCTTTGCTGGGGCTGGAAAATGGCTCCCAAGGTCACCGGGCAGCGCCAGCCCCGGCTGCTGGGCCTGACCTCCCCCTTGTTTGTCCCGGGGGCTGCTCCCTCCCTCGCCCCACGCCTCGCTCCGTGCCTTGCCCTGCCCAGGCTCATCCCTGGCCGATTTTCCCTGAACCAACCACGTTTTTGTGGCTGCTCGCGGCCGGTTCCCTCTCGCTGCCTCGGGATGCTGGGGCTGGGAGCTGCCACCAGCCCCGGGACTGGGAATGCCCCAGCCCTGCTCGGGTGAGAGGGGCGGCTTCCCTGCTGCCGGGGTCACGGGAGCAGGAGGCCACCGGGCCCTGCCCCGGGGCTAGGACGGCTTGAGGGGCTCCAGGTGCCTGCGGCTGCTGGGAGCGGGGCCACGGGGGGAGGCTGCCCCCGCTCTGCACCGCGGGGTTCTCCGGTGCGGGAGGACACGGGTGGGGGGGGGAAGGATGTGAGTGGGGGGGGGGCGGCCGGGCAGGACGTGCCGGGGGGCAGGAGCGGAGTTCAGGGGAAGAGGCGCTCCGGGAGGATCGGGGAGTTCCCGAGCCCGGCGGATCCCCGCGGGGGCTGGCGGCAGCGGCCCCATTGTCTCGGCTCTTCCTGCCCCGCTGCCAGCACCCCCGGGCCCCCCCCCCCGGCCGCCAGCTCCGTGGCTCTCCTGGGGCTGCCTCAGCCAAGCACCGGGGCTGGGTCTGGGCCGGGGCCGCTCTCCCGTAGGGCCCCTGGTCCCGGTGAGTGGGGCCGCGGCACCCGGCTGCTATCGCCCGCCCGGCACCTCGCCGTTATCGGGCGGCTGCAGCCGGGCTGGGAACCTGGGACCCCCCCCCGGCCCCGGGGCTCCTGGGCCTCGAGCGAGGGCTCTGCTCCCGCAGGGCACGGCCGGGATTTCAGCCCCGGGGGTGTCCGGTGCCGCCGCCCGGTGCCCGCTCCTCGCGGCTCCCCCCGGGGCCGTGCTGCCGGTTTGTGTTGGCGCGGGCCCCGCCGCTGTCCGCGGGCAGCCTCTGTCCCCGCCTCGCCCCCCGCGCCGGGGAAGCGCCGCCCGGTTCCCTTCCCACGCGTGGGGCCGCGGCCCCGGCTCACCCCGGGGCTTGGGGGGGGCGGGCCCCCAGCAGCCGCCCCCCGGTGCCCGCAGCCGTGCCCCGGCCGCGGGCCAAGCTCCCGGTGCCCCCCGCAGACGGGAGGGGGGAGCAGGCGGGGGACGGGCTGCAAACACCGGCCCCCCCCGGCCGGTCCCCGCTGCTGCCCCGGGACCGGCGGGGGGGGCGCGGGGGCCACCGGAGGCCACCGGGGGCGGGCGGCGCTGCGCAAACAGAGCAAAGGGCGGCCGCTGCGGAGGCACCGGGCACCGGGCACCGGGCAGGCGCCGCTGCCGTCCCCGGGGCTCTCCGGGGCACCGCGCGGTGGGGGCGCTTTGCCCGCCCTGACCCGCGGGCACGGCCTTGGCCTGCGGACGGGCACCGGGGGGGCCGGGGGGCGACCGGGAGGGACCGGGGACAGGCGGGGGGGGGGAACCGGGGAGGAACCGGGGCAGAGGGGGCCGGGGGGAGCCCCCCCGGTGGCGCCCTCCCATTGGCTGCCGTCACTTGGTGGGCGGGGCCGCGGCGGGACCGGCCCGAACCGGCTGTCCCCGCGGGGGCCGGCGGGCGGCGGGAGGCGGCGCCGCGGAACCTTTGCTCCGATTGGCCGGGCGCGGCAGGGAGGGCGGGGCTTTGCGCGGGAGCGGCCGCGCGATTGGCTCCGGGGAGCGCCGGGGGCGTGGCCCGGCGGGGAGCCCCGGCGCGGTGCTTTATAATGGGCGGGCGGCGCGGCGGGAGCGCGGGCGGCGATGGCGGCGGGCACGGAGGGGGTGCGCGGGCTCCTGGCGCTGCTGGTGCTCGGCGTGCTGGCGGCGGGCGGACAGGGCACAAGTACGGCACCGGGCACCGGGGGGGAGCGGGCACCGGGGGGGAGCGGGCGCAGCGCGGCAGCCCCGGGGCGGGGGGGGGGGGGGTCTGGCCGTGCCGGGGGTGCAGTGGGGTCTTTGTGCACGGCCCCGGGGAGGTGGCGGCGGCGTGGGGGGGGGGGACCGGGACCGGGACCTGGACCGGGACCGGGGTTGGGTCCGGCCCTGGGGGATCGTGGCCCGGGAGCTGCGGGGGGGGTGGGGGGAGCTGCCCGCCCGCCCGGCCCCGCCCCCCCGGGGCTGCGCCCTCCCCCCCCCCCCCGCCACGTGCCTGCCCGCACGCGCCCCGGGGTGCCCGGTTGCCCCCCCCTCCCCCATACCGAGGGGCTCCGGTTCCTGCAGCCCCCCCCCCGCCGCCTCGTGCTCCTCTCGCGGGGGTGCCCGGGGCTTTCCACCCCCGGGGCCCGCCCGTCTCGGAGTCCCCCCCCCGGTCGGGGCCGGCGGAGCGGGGTGGGGGCGGCGCTCTGCGGCCCTGGGGGGGCTCAAAAATAACCCAAAATCACCGCTCCCATCCCGGGGAGCTGGCTGAGGGCACCTCCCCCCGCTGCCTGCCCCCGCGGGGAGCTTCCCCCTTGTCTGCGGGCAGCCCCCGGGTGCTGCAGCCGGTGTCGGTGTGAGCCTGCCCGGGGCACCCAGCCCGGGCTCCTGCTGCCTGCGGGGGGGGCCCCGGGGCAGGGCAGGGCACCTGGGGGGGGGCTCCTGCCCCTGGGCTGGGTGCGAGGAGCAGCCCCGGGGCTGCGCCTTTTGCTCTCCGTTCCCTGAGGTCCCTGTCCCCTTCCCTCCCCCTCCTCTGGGGACCCGAGTTGGGGGGCTGGAAGGTCGGGGGTCTCCTGCCCCCTCTGGGTTTGGGGCGGGATCCCGGGGGTGACGGCGGAGGCTGCGGTGTCGGTGGCTCAGCGGTGTGGGTGTGCTTGGACTCTGCTCCCAGCCCCGCGCAGGTCTCCTGCCCGGCCACACGCAGCTCCAGGGAGAGTCCATTTTAGAGCTCTTAGTGGAAAAAAGCCGGCGCTTCGTGCGTCCCTCCCCGAGGCCGAGAAGCAAAGGTCAGGCTGTGGGGGGAGCGCGCCCTGCGGCGTGGCGCTGGCCCCCGCCAGGCCCCCGGCACTGCCCGCGCCCTCCCTCTGCCCGGGGAGGCTGCTTTTAGCTGGAAGGTGACTCAGGGCAGCGCTCTCTGCCCCTGCACGCCGCTGCCCAGCCTGACCGGGCGCTGCCTGCCGCTTGGCCTGGGGAGCTGCCTGCGGCCCCTCGCCCCCCGGGGGTGCTGGGGGCTGCTGCTGGCACTGCTCCCGTGCCCCAGGACTTAGCGGGTGCCCTCCCCAGCCCGGCGTGCCTGGAGCTGTGGTTGCTCTGCCTCGTGTAGGAAGGGGAGAGGACGTGAAGCCCCATGTGAGCGCAGGGGGGACCTGCTGCTACTAGCGCGGGCTAGCTGAAGCTTTTTAGCCTCTGAAAGGCACGAAGTGCCCTCTAACTCGGGGCACGTAACCTTGCAACAGCTTATTTTGTCAGCATACAATAATCACCTTACGGCTGCTAAAAAACAAACGAGGCCCCACCCACCCCCAGAGACAAAAACAAAACTCCAACCCGCTGATATTTACTAGCTCCCATTTTAAACCAGGCTGCAGTTAAAACGGGGCAGGCTCCAACATGTGCAGTAGTCAGCTCTGTGACTCTTCAAAATAAGGTGGTTGGGAGCGTTTAATCACAGGCCCGAGGTGTAAAAGCCCGTTCTGGCGCCCAGAAGCACCAGGAGGCGTGCGGGCGGCTCGTCCCGTGCCAATGTGCAAACGCGGTCCTGGAGGCTGCTGGGCTTGGTCTCTGGGTGCTTTATGAGGTGGCCTCCAGCAAGCTCTGGTGCCCGAGAGCTGCCTGTTACTGGGACCCGTACGGCTTCTGGAGCCCCGGCCACCTCCTGTGCCTTCCTGAAACCAGTTCAGGATCGTTCTGGTGTCTCTGCCACGATTCTGTAACCCAGAATTGCTTGGAACCTTTAAAACTGCTGCGGAGGTGTCGCTGCATTTCTGGAAGCAGCCAGCAGCACCGTTGTTGGCATGTGAAACAGCAGCAGGCTCTTCTAGCCCCGAGCTACTCTGACCTCTGTTTTAAAGGTGCCTCAGTTTTAAATATCAGCCGTCTGCTAAAGCTGGCCTGTAGCAGACGGGCGTCAGAGCTCTCCTTGCTTGTCCGAGCACGCTTATTTTTCCAGCTATGGGTACTAAAGCTTTAAATCCTCCTTTGAGGAATGTGGAAGTGATTTACTCTGAAATGTACCTTGCAGACTTGTCTGTGTTTTCCCTGAGTTTGAGCAATGCTGGTTTCATAACACCGGTTTGCTTCCAGACTCTCAAAAGCAGCCATGAGTTCTCTTACTGAAACATCCCCAGGAATTCAAAAACGAAAGAAATTGTCCCCGAACCCACCTCCCTCATGCCTGTGTGCAGCAGCCTGTTTAACCATGAAATCCAAGTGCTTAGTAACAAATTTCCCGGGAATAGCCTCAAAGTCTGCTGGTGGCGGCTCTGAGAAGTGCAGCCTGCAGTCAGTGCAGGAAGTACGTGTCAGGAGCCTCGCTGCTTCTGCTGAAACCTTGCTCAGACTGAGTCATGTAAGTAACCTTGACGTTGGTGTGATGTCTCTTCCTGGCCTCCGGGAACAGCCCTCCCGGGGCCCTGCTCTTTCCCCCGCTGTCCTGGAGCGATTGGAGCCGGCTTCCCTCCGCAGGCTGCAGCTGGTGGCAGCTGATAGCGGCCGGGAGGCGCCGCAGGCAGCTCGGCTCCCCACAGCCCCGCGGCTTTTGGGGCTTCCTGAGAGCCAGGCCCTGGGGCTCCAAGCACAGGAACAGCGTGAAAAGTGCCGTCGTTCTGGGTGTCTCTGCTTTTAAGCAGTTTCCTGCTAATTGACCTCTGCAGAGCTGTCTTGTCGGATGGAAAAATCTGATTTTTGCTGTGTGGCAACAGATGTTAGAAATTTCTTCACCTCATTTGTGGCACTTTGCGGACTGCAAGACAACCTCAAAAAACCACACACCAAAAAAAAAAAAAGCCCACAAAACCCAAGCGGTCGTATCAGTAAGGTGTTCAGCGGTGTCCGCATCTTGAGGTGCTCGTGAGACCATGGAGGAGAGCGGCCGGGCCCAGCGAGCAGCCCGCGGCCTGTGGCCGTGCTGGGCTCTGGGCAGATCCGGGTCATGGTCGGGAGCGCGGGGCTGGGGAGGGGGGTGCGGAGCATCTCCGTCAGCGGGAGATCCGAGCTGCATGCGGTGCTTCTGACGGGGGCACTTCGGGTACCCAGCTGGCGTTCTCCAGGCATTAATGATGTTACGGCGAGGAGCGGCCTCTCAGTGCGGTCTGTGTACACACAGGGGTGTCTAGGGCAGCGTTTTGCTGTGCCGGGGCTGTCCCGACAGAGCTGGTGGGCAGGGGCTCACTGTGTGCTTGCTGTGGTGCCCTGGTGCAGGCACCTGGTGGGATGCTCGAGCAGTGGGGCCCGTGGAGGCCGGGGCAGAAACCTGCTGCTGCCTCGGCCTGACCTGGCTGTGGGCCGAGGTCCGAGGCTGGGGGGCTCTCGGCCTGCCCTGGTGAGCATCGCCTTGGGGTGCTGGCCCCACAGGAGAGGCAGTGCCGGCGTTCTTGCTGGGATCCTGGCGGATTCTGCACGGGCTCCTGGTGTCCTGGCCTCGTGGTGGGAGGCCTTGCTGCCTGGAGGCGCAATAACCCAGAGCTAGGGCCCTGCGTGAGCTGTGCGTCTGGACAGAGAGTGGGGAGGGAGAGGATTCTGGTCTGAAGACTGTGACATCTTCTCGATGGCTGAATTTTTTTTGCTTGTAGAGGGTGAATTCTTGCTTTGCACTAACACTTTGCACTAATACCTCTTCAACTCGTAGCTGGTTTTATAAAGTCACCGCTGTCTCAAAAGAGACTGACTCAGGACAGCGTCGAGTTGTACTGCGAGGCGATTGGCAATCCCATCCCTGAGATCCAGTGGTGGTTTGAGGGGAACGAGCCAAACGAGACCTATGCTCAGCTTTGGGATGGTGCACGGCAGGACCGTGTCAAAATCAACGCCACCTACAACCTGCACTCCACCAGCACCATCTACATCGCCAACCTCACGGGCGACGACTCGGGCACGTACGAGTGCCGGGCCAGCAACGACCCTGACCGCAACCACTTGTCGAAGAGCCCCAAAGTCAAGTGGATCCGTTCACAGGCTAACGTTTTTGTCATCGAACGTGAGTGGCCGTCCTGAGGCCTTGGCACTTGCTCGGACACTAGTGTCTTGAGTCTCCCGCCATGCTCACCCCTGCACCCGTGTCCTGTGACTCCCCAGAGCCCCCTCACCTTCCCACCCTGGCCGTAGAACTGAGAGACTTTCCCCTTGTGTCATCTCCCTCACCGCCTCTGACCTGACCCAAAATGGCCCTCAAAAAGGGTTGTGACTTCCCAACCAAAACGCCTTTCAGCAACCCCGTGCCTTTTCCGGAGCCAAAGACCTGGAACGTGTCGCTTATTCCCGAGTGCCTCCGTGTCCCGGTGCTGGCTTGCAGAGTTCAGTCCTGGTCCTGCTGGTAGACTCTGCCCTAACCACTGACAAACCAGCCCTTCCCTACAGCTCCTGCAGCCTCTGCTTCCGTCAGCGGTCCTGCTTTAAGCTCGCTTTCCTGCTAGTGATACAAGCTGTGGGGACCAAAATCTGCTTTTAGCTTCCCGTGGTGCAACCATTTTTGAAATGGCCGTGTCTGTGTGCGACACTGAGTGTGGCGTAGCCGCGTGCGCTGGGGGCCACCGGGTGCCCTCTGCTCCCAGAGCTGGCAGCGGGACCGGAGCTAACGGGCTGCTGGCTTCTGAGTCCCAGAAACCTGGGTAGGGTGAGGGGATTTAATGTCCCACTAAGGTCTCAGGAATCCTGAAGCGTGCTAGGGAGTGCAAAACTCCAGCAGAGCCTTCTTCCAGTGGGATTGGGGTAGGAGGAAAAGCAGAAGGTCTGTTAGGCCTGTGCAAAATTTCCTCCTTCCAGGTGAAGAGCCTGCGTGGAAGGGCAGGGAGCGCAGTGCTACCGGGGCTGTGTAATGGCTCTGCTAATGGCAGCCGTGCACTTCACTGCCTCCAAGTAGAAACGTCTGACTCATCTCACAATGTATAATTTACTGCTGCTTGGCACATGGAGGTCCGGGACCTTTTGGAGTCCTGGTTATGTGTGTTCTCCCAGGAATAAACCCAACTATAAAAATTTGGGCCGCATCATATGATGCGTGTATTGCTTGTGTAAGGTCACCTTTGTTACCCCTCCCAAAAGAGGGCTGTGGCTGCCGTAGGTTATATTACCTGCAGGTTCCTAAATCCACTCTGACTGTGGGAGGTGTTGACATGTAGTGAGCACTAAAGTGGCTCATAAAAGCAGGGAGCTGAGCTACTGGAACTGCCCTTCACAGTATGGCTTTTTCCACTGCTTATTGAGCACTCAGCTCTATTAGAGCTGCACCCATTGAGCAGGAGGCTCAAAGCTGTCCATAGGACATGGCAGCGATCCCGACCCCGGTGGGAGCAGCCACAGAGTCAGTGTCCTGGCACTGCTAGGTGCGGTCAGGCCCGAGCTGTCTGGCTTTCCAGTCTCCCATGCTGGTGTCACCAGTTCTGGTAGGAAACAGACCACAAAGGTAAGTGAAAAGCTCTGGTGGAGGTGAGGAGCTGCGGGTTCTGACTCTCTCGGTACAGGTTGTTGGGCAGCTGCGTGACCTTGTGAATACCAGGTGCTAACTTCAAGGGGGTTTTTTACAAACAGGTCCAGACATCCAAACGCAGTTCACAAGCACTCATGGCAAGTTGGTCCTCAGCTGCAACCTGACTGAGCCTCACTCTGCCATCGATGGTCATGAATGGAAGTATGGAGACAAGATACTTCAAACAGACACGGAGTCGAGCAGTGTCACCACTTACGAGTAAGTGCCGGGTGCAAGGCCAGATAAGGATCTATACAAGGACAGTTTTTGTTTTTTTTTTTTTTTTAACTGGAGGCAATCTTTCCTACCCACTGAACTCAAAGCTAGGTGCTTGCAGTCTTGCCAAAAATAAGAACTTTTGAACTTCGGAACATAAGATGAACAAAATAAAGTTTTGGTGAGACCCCATTCTTCCTACTTCTGGGAGAGGAGGGAATGAGGAGGAGTAGGGAAGGAAAGTGAAGTGCCACCAGTGTCCTCCTGGCAGGAAGAGCCCTGTGGCCCCGTGTCTCCATGCAGAATTAGGCCGGGCTGGGTTTGCTGGGTGCAGCCCGGCCCCGCAGCACTGAGAGCCGCGCGGCTGCCTCGCGGAGCCCGGAGGAGCCCCCCCTGCCCCACGTGGAGCTGCACACTCCCGTGTTCTCCGTGCATCACGCCTTTATGCACGTCTCCCTGCTACAGGGTGAGTGGGGAAGCTGCCTGCAGATTAGTCTCTGAAGCTGTTTGCAGGCTGTAGCTGAGCATGCCGGGGATCCCGGCCGTATTGTGGCGGTGCAGCGAGCCTTCCTTTCCGATTACAGTCAGGCCTGGCTGGCACTGACCCAGCAGCTGTAGAGGCATCATGTCCTTTTGTATGGCAGTGCCGACGTGCCTGTCTCCCCATAGCAACAGGGAGCTGAACAAGGATTAAAGTATTTATAACCCAGCCTCCCTCGCGTGACCTCAATTCCTTAGCTGAGTGGTTTTTGGAAGCGGGAAGCTCGGTGCACGGCAGAGCTAACAAACGGCCTGTTGTCCCAGCGCAGGCGGGGACTGAAACTTTGCCCCTTCCCCTGAGTGGCTATTACTAAGCTGCAGAATGTGATGTTTGCTGTAGTGCAGCATAATCCACTAAATCTCAGGGCAGCAGCTTCACAAAGGCAAAAATGGGAGAGCTCTCTCTACACTTGGATCAATCCAGAGTGACTCAGCCTGGGTTTTTCTGTCATTGCCATGTGTCCCAGCAGCCTTCCCTGTACAGGAAGAGTACCCTTCCTCTGAATCTGCTGTCTTAAAGCCCCTGCCCCTCTGCCATAGAGGTGAACTGCAGGGCTGGTGTTCTGCTGGAGGTGTGTGGCCGTGCTCAGGGGCTTGGTGTAGTAGGGGATGACTTCTAACAGGGCTGCAGTCTGTATGGAAGGTGGAAAAGTGTGAAGTACACCTCGAGGTGTATGTAAGTCGGCACACCTGGTGAAGACGTGTTGCTTTGTTCCTCCCCTTCTGTAGGGGCTAGCTGTCTGCTCTTATTTTCCCCTCTGTAGAGGCCCTGGAGGCAAGAGTGATTCGGGTTAGGGAGTGGAAGCTGCTGGTTTGCAGGGTTTGGGATGCAGGATATCTGTGATCACTGAGGTGACAGACCCATGTCAGACTTTGTGTGTGAAATCCCCTCTGCCAACCGTAATGTGTGGGGAGAGAAGGGCAGGGAGGTGTGTGGTGCTGCACAGATCTTGGTGCTGGAATGGGAGAAACGGCCTGTGGAGGAGGCTGCTGTTCAGGGGTTGTAGGGCTGTTTCTGTGGGTCTGGATTGTGTATTTTTGGATGGCAGTAGCTGAGCGGAATGCTTATCTGACAACCTGTTTTTTGGTAGGATCGAGGGGAAGAAGGAAGAGCACTCTGGTATCTATCAGTGCATCTTCAAAACAAGCCCAGAGATAAAAGGAGAAATAAATATATCAGGTAACTCTACGGGTTTGTGGCTGAGGGGGCGAGTGGGGAAGCCGCAGCCTCCTGAACACTTTGCTTTGGTAGCAAAGCAAGCTGAAAAGCTGCTTATAGCCCTTACCAGTAGGGCTGCAGGGCTCTACTTGTGAATTATCAGGTTTGCTCTGTGAGGCATCTCAGTTACATCAAGCAATTAAGCTGTCTGCAGGGTCAGCCTGGGGGCCCTTCTGTTATGGGAGGGGGGCAGTACCTGGTGGTCAAACCTGTCTGAGCCTTTCTTGAAGCAGCTTGAGATGCTTCCCGCTCTGAAAATGCCAAATGTTGCACAAATGGAGAGGTTAAGACCCGCTAATGCATTCCTTAAACTGAAGCTGCCTTATGAGCAACTTTGATAGTGGCTATTGGACTGCAAGGAGCCTTCCTGCCTCTTCCACGGCGAGGTGTCTGACTTCCTTTTTCTCTTGCTGCAGTTGTGCCCCAAGTGGTGGCTTACAAGAAGTCTGAGCATGGGAATGAGGGGGACACGGGGGTGCTGACCTGCAAGAATCCCTCTTTTCCTCCTGTCAGCTCTTGGACCTGGTCCAGAAATGGCGAGCAGGTAGGTGCTGTGTCTGTCCTGGCTCCCCTTCTGCCCACCCTGCTTACCAACAAGGAGGCAGAGGACCTCTTGCATCAGAATTAGTGCTTCCAGAGGAGCTTTCTCCTTAGTGCCATGGCAAGGAGGATTTCTGCAGTGGTGGACCTGTGCATGTAATGTGAGCAGCTCCCCTTGTGCCAGCACTACCCTGAAGCTCTCCGTTCCTTCCTTCTAGTCCATCATCAATGGATCTGGCCGATACATCATCAAGTCCAGCGGCAACAAGACAGAGTTACGCATTCTTAAGCTGAACATCGAGGAGGATACGGGTGACTACCAGTGCATTGCCATCAACGTATTTGGCACGGGTGAAGCCACGGTGAACCTGCGCGTACGCAGCCGTCTGGCAGCGCTCTGGCCCTTCCTGGGCATAGTGGCAGAAGTCCTGGTCCTTGTCACCATCATCTTTATCTACGAGAAGAGGAGGAAGCCAGATGAAGTTCTTGATGGTAAGAGGCACCCGGGGTTATATCTTTCTAGGGCGAAAAAGGAGCTTGTAGGGTGCAGGCAAATTGTTCTCGGAGAACTCAGACTTTGTCGGATGGGCACCACACCTCAGTGGGAGGCCTGCTTCTCAGGAATGCTTCTTGTCTAACCATCGTAGCCTCCACCAGGTTACTTTGGCCTGGAAGTACTTGCACGCTTTGCCAATCCTTCAGCAAGCTGTGCTTTGGCTCCAGAGTTAGATGTGGTGCAGGTCAGCCTGACCCTTTGTCTCAGCAGCTGCTCTGCACTTTGTTCAGCTGCTTCATGTGAGCATCTCCAGGAGGGGTTTTTCTCTGAGAGTTAACATTCTGGAGAAAATGATGTGGGAACAGGTAGTAGAGCTTTACTGAGCTGCAGAGTATGGGAGTGTCAGCAGTTCTATAACAATAGGCTTAGCCTCAGCTCCTCAATCTGTTTTGGGTCTTCAAATTTACTCATCCCAGCTCTCTGGGAGTTCCTCAAAGCCTGGTGTTATCTTGAATCTGTTCTGGAAGTGTGGCTCCTCCCTTTCCTTATCAGTAGGAATCTTCATTGTGTGGACCCGGCAGCCCCTCCCTTATCTGATCCTGTTAACAATGCAGTGTGAATGCTCGGTATCCTTCCTGCTGGCTGGGTCAGTCACCTTTGCCCTTTGCTGGGGAACAGCACATCAGGTGGACTGAGTGGTGTGAAGGGAAGTGGAGGGACTAAAACTGAGTATCCCTGCCTGGCTGCAGAGCTCGAGAGATTCTACTCGAGGCGGTTTTATAAGTAAACGTGTTGCCCTCTGGCACGGCGTTCTTGGCTGGAAGGCAGATGTCTACTTAAGAATGGCTGTAGCTACATCTTTTAGCAAAAAAAAAAAAAAAAAAAGCTGTAGCCTGTTTGCTGAGTGCGGTTTCTGCTGATATCAGCTGAGTCCAGATCCTGCTGAGCTCTGTCCGAGTTGTGGTGGAGCCTTTGGCAGATGACGGCAGGTCCTGTCATACTGGCAGGGCTCCTCTGGCGGCTCCTCAGCCAAAGATCTGAAGCTCAGGCTCCCGAGTGCTTGTGGGTGAGGATACAGCATTGCACTTGATGCTACAACAGGACACTAAAGCTGCATCTCGCTCCTCGAAAGCCTCGGGAAGGCAGTGCTGAGCCAGCTCAGAGCTGCTGAGCTGTGGGTGCGTGGCGGTGAGCTGGCTGCTCCCTGCTTCCTGGGACGGGAGGAGTCCAGCCTGTGCATGGCCTGATATCCTTGCTGGTGTTATCTTTCCACTTTTCCCTTCTCTGCTGCTGGGTGCCATCTCAAATGGTAAGTGGAAGCTGGTTCCAGCCGTGTCCTCTCACCAGCTGTGCACAGCTCTGTGTGCCCAAGGCAGCCCCGAGTTTACAGCTCGGGTCTCACCCCTCAGCGCTGCCTGAGCCATGGAGGAGGTGATGGGAACCCTCTCCTGGAAAGTGGCAGATTGCAAGGAGCTGGTGAAAGGTCCCAGGGCTGGGCACTTGTTGGCGAAGGTGTTTTCTTAGCCGTGTTTCTCTGTGTAGCGAGGCCGTGGCGTGCAGTGTTTGTTTCGTTTCACAAGATGTGCAGGGAGGAAGAAGGGCTTTACCTGGATACTTAAAGCCTTGTTCCTGCAGCCTTGACTTTGTGTTCAGATCTGGGAGCTGTTAACAGGGGTGAGAGCAGCAAGTACTTGGGTGTGCTGTCCCACCGAGTGGCCTGTGGCTCCCATTTCAGCTCCGGGTGCTAGTGGGGGGACCGGCTGGGGGCACGGGCTGTGGCTGTCAGCAGATGGTAGTGGCCAGCAGTGCTGCCTGAGGCTGCCCGGACACTTCCCCGTGTAATTCTGCTTCTGTGGCTTCCTGGATAGTCCCAGGTGTTCCTCGTGGTTAATGGAGCACCAGACCTGACCTCTGCTGATGGGGGGGTAGGAGACCTGGTTGTGCCCGTGCAGTGCCAACAGAAGCAACTGCTTAACAGGAGCTTATGTCTAAGCTTGTGCCGCGTCTCTGCTTAGACAAGAAGCAGCTTAAAACTCATGCCGGGGGTGGTGGTATTCTAAGAAGTAGCCCCCCTGCTCCCCCCAGCCCTGGTGAGATGGGAGCCCTGTCTGTGGTGACCTGTGGTGTCCAGAGTCCCGTCACCTCGGGATGCTGGTCCCCAGTTACAGAGGTGGAAGGGAGGCAGGGATTACTTGGTACGTGTGTTTCCCTGACGCTCTTTGTTCTTTCTTTTCCTGTGCTGTCCTGAACATGAAGATGATGATGGAGGTTCTGCACCACTGTAAGTGCCTTGCTTTTCTACTTAGTCCTGTTTGTACTGGCAGATCACATTAATCAGGAAATCTGCTTTGAATATAAAAGCGAGCTGGTACAGGAATAGCTCGTTAGCTTACGGGGGACTTTCCCTTCCCATGTTTTTTTTTTTTTTTTATGGCCTCTATATGAACTGCATACAACTTAGAATGGTACAGAGGTCTCTGAAACTGTTCTGGCAACTAAACTCACCTTGCTGTATCTTGAGCCTCTATTTGGGTACAAATTGCATTACTGGGTAGGGTGGGTTTTTGTGCTTTGTATTCACTGCCCCTTTTCTCCCTCTTTCCAGGAAAAGCAATGCCACAAACCACAAGGACAAGAATGTCCGCCAGAGAAATGCTAACTAAGCAGGGGCCAGGTGAGTGCTGCTCCCAGGGGCAGAGCTGCAGCTGCTGAGCCAGGTGCCTTCACCTCCTCACAGCACGGGGCTCGTACGGCTGTCTGGAGGTGCTTGTGTCTGGCTGGAACCCTGCCGGGGCTCTTCAGCAGCTTGTAAAAGCCATGTGGGCAAAAGCTCCCCTTGGCCCAGCATCATAGTGCAGTTCCTGGGAGAGGGAAGGAAGCCTTGCTGTGAAGTTCAAGCACAGGCCACGAGCAGTAAACTGCCAAAGCTGCTGGGACTGCGTGTGAGGCACACTCAGCAGGGCCTGGCCTCCTCCCAAATGGGCCGAGGGAGGCAGGAGAGTGTTGGGCTCTCCATGGTGGGGGTCTTGCAGCATGGGAGGGTCAGGACTACCTGATAGTCTGTACCCTGGATTTGAGCAAGAGAGGACTCCAAGCCCACAGCTTTTGTCCGGCTTTATCAGCCCCCCTCTAGCACAGCATGGCCTTACGGTACTGCTAGGTTATCTAACTGGCTTTTTTCTCTCTCACTCCAGGTGATATGTAGCTGAAGAACTCGTCTGGACATTTTTTTTCTTTTCTTTGGTAAAATAGCACCATGAAATATTCTAGTGTGTCCTTGCGATTGAGTTACTTCACTTTCTAAAGGAACTTAAGTTGTAGAAACTAAAATACACATGTTGTTTTTTTAAAAAAAGAGTTGTGGGAGGGTTTTTTCTACCTGTAAGTGTAAATCCCTTCTTTCTGGTAGTCTTGGTCACTGGCTGTCTGTCCTAGGTCTCTTCATGTTGGAGCAGAGCGGGTGGGTGGGAGTACAACTTCTCTTCCTCTCCTCTTGAAGAGCAGCGTGTGCTGGGGGGGCTGTGCTGAGATGCCCTCCTCGCCCCACCTCAGTGTTGGAGGCCACACGAGGAGCTGCGGAGAGCTGACCTGAGCGTGGCAGCAAAATGCACAGTTCCTTGAGGGCTGCTCCACCAGACATGGCTGGCCTGGGTTCCCAGCACAGTGTCGTGTCCTGCACGTGCGGGATGGGAGGAAACTGCTGTAGCAGCCTTCTGGAGGTGACCCCATCCCTCAGAGCATCTTAGGAGATCCCCCCCTACCCCCTGGCTCCTCCAGGGATGCTCTTGGTGGTCACACACAGAAACAGACAACCAGGAGGCAGTGTTAGAGCTGGACACTGGCTGGACATGATTTGTGTTAACTTATTTAATGGGTTGTTAGTATTGCTTCTCAAGTGGCTACGCTGGGGCTGGGGGCAAAGTGTGGGGTGGACGCTGGGGGTGCGGTGTGGTGGGGGGTGGTGTGACAGCATGTGTTCTTGTGCTTGGGCCATCTTGGTGTTTGTGCAACATAGGAGCCTGAGAGCAGACGAATGCTCAGTGGTGTCTAATACCTTTATTGCTGAGTAGCGTTGAGCTGTTCCATCTGTTAACATACTTCACAAATAAAGATAATTCCTCTCTCTCTTTTTTCCACCTTGGTTTGGATTCTGGTCTTTCTTTTCCCTCAGAGGTAGGCCCGTGAGTTTCCTGACCTGCTCTGCCCCCTTTCTGGCTCCTCTGGCTGCTGGACACAAAGCTTTGTCCCCCTTTGTCCCACAGGCTAGTGCAGCTCTGGCTGCTCTCTAATCTCACGTGCGTACACCCTGAGAGGTTTTCAAGCCCTAACAAAGGGAGATGAGCAGCTCTGGGGATGGGTGCTGTGTGCTGCCTCTTAAGGCAAGCTCTGCCTTTCTGCTCTGGCTTCTGGGCTGTGTCCCAGCTGTGCTGCAGGTTTTGGGGATCTCAGCTGCCTGGGACTTCATCCTCCGAAGAGTATCAAAGCCCCCTCGGGAGCTCTGTGAACCAGAATGTGTGGGACTGGCTGGGACCTCTCAATTTCTGTAAGGGGGGTGAATGTGGGAGGTGTGAGGAGCCTGCAGCAGGGAAGGGTCTCTGCTCTCCTGACCCTCAGGAGCAGAGCCTGCAGCATCTGTGCTTGATGCATCGCACCTCTCTAAGCAATTTCTTTCTCCCTGTTCTTTCCTGGGGGACAAAACAGGGGTGTAAGGCCTCCGTCTGCTTCCCTTGCGTGCAGAGAGGATGCAGCAGGGGCTCCCTGTCCTGCGGGGGGCCGTGCAGCTGGGCTCTGCGTGCACCAGGAGCTGCTTCTCCCTGCCTGGGGGGGTCACGGGCGTGGGGCCTGGCCTCGGGAGCAGCAGCAGCGGCTCTGCTGTCCTGGTGGTCCTGCTGCACGTCGGCGGGTTATGCAAGCCCTGGCACCGCCGGCCCCGGGCTCGCGGGTGATGAAAAAGAAAAAAATAAAAATCAATGCGTGGCTTAATTTCCTTGATGAGGATTAGGGGGCCTGCCCGACCCGGCACAAAGCCCTGCTTGTGCCTTTTGTTCGCCGGGGCTGGCAGCGGCCGGGGAGCCGGGGGGGGATCGGCCCCGTGCTGCTCCCTGCCGGGAGCTGCGGGGCCGGCACCGGGCACCCGGCTCCCGCCGGTGCCGCCCGCTCGCCCCGGTGCCCGCAGCCTCCCGCGAATCGAGGACGCGGCGCCGGCTCCCGGAGCGCTTCGTGCCCCTGCAGGGCCGGGGGGGACCTGGGCAGGCGGGGGCTTTGCGCTCGGAGGCGGTTTGGAAATCGGCCGCTGCTGGCGGACAGCGCTGGGAGGCGCCGGGGGGGCTCCGGGGCAGGGGCAGGGTGCGGGGGCCGGGGCCGCGGCTCCGGGGCACCCCCGGGTGCGTTTCTGCGCGGCCAGCACCAGGTGGTGCCCGCGCCCCGCTCGCTGTGCCGGGCCGGCTCCGGGGCCGTGCGCTCCCCGGGGCCCCGCCGCCGCCGCTCCCGGAGCCCGTTCGTGGCGCTCGGGAGCCTCTGCCCCCCGCGGCGGGTCCCGGCCGCTGCCCCCCGCCCGGCTGCTCGGGGCTGCGCGGCGGAGCCGTCGGGGAAGGACGGGCCCGGGGCTCGGCGGGGGCCCCGCGGGGGACGCGCGCCTCGGGGGCGGCTCCCGGCCCGGCGGCGCCGGGGGACCGGGACGCGGGGAGCAGCCGGTGCCGTCGGGGGGCAGCGGGGCCGCTCAGCCGTCGGGGGCCGCGCCGGCGGGGGGAGCTGCGGAGCCGGCCCGGCCCCGGCGCCCGCCCCCGGCCCGCCCCCGGCCCGCCCCCGGAGCGGCGGCGGGCGCCACTCGGCCGCCGGTGGCCTCGGCGGCGGCAGCGGCAGGATGCGGGCGGGCCGCGGCGCGGCGGGCGGGGAGGCGGCGGCCGAGGAGGAGGCGGCGGCGGCGGCGGCGGCCGAGGGGGCGAAGCGCGGCGGCGGGGCCGGGGGGCGGCCGCGGGGCCGCGGCGGGAAGGGGTCCCCGAACGGCGAGTGCCGCCGCGGGGAGCCGCCGCGCAGCCCCGGCGCGGAGCCGCCCCGCGAGCCCAAGGTCTCCTTCTCCTGCGGCGGTGGCGGTGGCGGTGGCAGCGCATCCCCCGGCGGGGCCAAGGCGGCCGAGGAGGGCGACGATGCGGGCGAGGAGGCCCGCGGGAGCCAGGCCAGCTTCATGCAGCGGCAGTTCGGGGCCATGCTCCAGCCCGGCGTCAACAAGTTCTCGCTGCGGATGTTCGGCTCCCAGAAGGCGGTGGAGCGGGAGCAGGAGCGCGTCAAGTCGGCGGGGGCCTGGATCATCCACCCCTACAGCGACTTCAGGTGCGAGCCGCGCCGGGGGCGCCCGCACCGCGCCCGGGCTCCGCGGGGCCCCCGGGGCTCCGGGGCTGCGCCCCCACCCCGGGTCGGCGCCGCCGGCCCCGAGCATCCCCGGCCCCTGCGGGGGCTGCGCCGGGCTGGGGGGGCTCCGGCGGCGGCGGGGAGGGGGCGAGGGGGGCCCGCGGCCGGGGCCGGGCCGAGCCGTGCCCTGGAGAGGGCACCTTGAGCCGCGCTGGAGGTGGAAGGCGCAGCCCGCGGATGTGCGGGGAGGGGCTGGGGCCGGGCGCCCCCCTCCCCAGCGCAGCGACCCGGGGGTGCCGGGAGCCCGCTGCGCTCCGAGCCGGGTGCTCGGCCAAGGGCATCCCCTTGTCCTTCCCAGGGCCTCGGAACGGCCCGGCCCAGCGAGGATGCTCTGGAGGCTCCCACCAGGCTTTGGGCCCTGCAGCTGTCATGGGGGAAGGAGTCACACTTGGCTCTGGGGTCCCAGGGCCCCGAGGCCTGGGCTGGGAGACCTGCAGAGCTCTGTCAAGGTTCCCCTTCCCACCGGGAGGCCAGATCCCATCCCTAAGATTCAAGGAGTTTGAGGGATTCGTCTCGCTCCTCGGAGGACCGGGTCCCCAAGGTCCAGCCTTTGCGGCTGGGAGAAAGGTGCTGCAGCCCCCCCTCCTTTCCATCTGCCCCCTCTGAGCCCTGGGGAGAGATCGGTGCTGAATGGGCTGGGTGGGGGCTGCCAGGAGGGACGTACTGGGGGCAAGTGGCGCAGCCCATTTGGGGACTGGTGGCTGAGATTGGGGCCATGGTGTGGTGACCCTAAGGGGGCTGGGGGCCCTTTGCCAGGGGCCGGGAGGCAGCGAGTGGCTCAGGCCCAAGTCATTCTGCCCCTCTTTTAGCGCTTGAGGGGGGCTTCACCCCCACGCAGGAGAGAGGGTGCAGGGTGCGGGGGCCGCGGGTGAGACCCCAGCCACGCAGAGGTCCCCGGGCAGAGGAGGCAGCGGGCGGTGAGGCTCTGTCCTGGCCAGGCAGGCTTGGGGCAGGGACCAGCGCCTGCAGCTCCGGCGTCCTGGCCTCGTGCTCGGCTCCTGTGCTGCTCTGGCATCTTCCGAGGCGTGTGGAGGAGCAGCCAGAGGCCTCCAGCCTCCTCTCCAGGGCTGACCTCACGCTCAGGGTCCCTCACCCTCGCACCAGACGTTGCCGTCGGGAGCCCACGCAGGTTTCTGCTCGTGTTCCCGGTCGGGGACCAGCTCTGCTGCAGGGCCTTAGCTGGGCACGAGGGCGTTGCTGTTCCTGCGGGAGCTCCTCGGTCCCTGCTGTGGCAGCCAGCGCAGTGTCCCTGCGCCAGGAGGGTCCCCTGCCACCCGTGGGGGTTCCCGGGGAGCTGGTGAGTGCCCCGCTCACCTCGCACGGCCGCGGGACCCTTGGGAGCGGCGTGGCGATGAGGCCCCGTGCTGACCGCATCGGGGCGAGAGCCCGCCTGGCTCCGTGGCCAACGCGGAGCCGGCAGCGCCGCGGTGCTGCTGGAGCACGGGGCCTCCCTGCAGGCGACCTTGGGGGGGTCACCCTGTCCCGCTGCGGCTCCATCCCCTCCTGGAGCCTCTGCCACGACTCCAAACCCACGGGAGAAGAGCCGCTGCCCGTGCTGTGATGCTGCAAGTGGCGTAGAAGAGTTCCCTGCTCAGCGGGGAGGAGCTGCGAGGAGAACCAATGCATTAGCCCAGTCTACAAATGTGGAAATAAACAAGATCAGCTCAACGTAGGGCTGGGAGCCCAGCAGCGAGGAGTCCACTCCACTCCTGCGTGTTTAGGACATGTGTCTGTGTATTTCACATTATTCCTGCCTTAAAAAAATATACATCATTTATCTAGTAATGCTAATGGATATGAACCCATCCGCATTTGCCCTGCAAAGCCCATTTTCCCATCTTAAGATAAAATCATTACCCATCTGCATACGTGACATCATTTCATAATAGGAGTCATTTAGAGATCCTGTCTCCTGGATGCAGCACCGTGATTATTCATGCGAAATTCAGGGGCATGCTTTGCTCCAGGAAGGAAAGTCGCTATTTCCATAAATATTGAGTTATTAGGAAGCCGCACGGGTGGCTGTTGAGATCCCAAGTTGCAAACCTGGTAAAAGAACCTTGCAAATTGTGGGCTGAAGCAGACAGCGTTGAGCAGAGACCCTCATTCCTGGGTGCTTCGTTCAATCGCCTTGTCCATCTTCTCCACTTCTGGTCTTTAGTGATGGGAGGAAAAAACGGCGAGCGTTGACTTCGCCGTTGTTTCTGTTGGTGTTTCTGCAGCTGGGTAGCGCTCCTGGAGCGGGGTTTGGAGCCAGGATCAGGCCTGTGTCTAGCCCTAGCTTTGCAGTGACTTTGGGCACGTCGCTGGCCCAGATCCCATCCTCGCAGCCCTTTAGGGCTGTGCGGGGGCAGGCGCCGGTGCCCTGCGGGACACGAAGCCTCGCGCCCAAGGCCAGCACCCAGAGGGAGCGCGGGGGCTCGTGCAGCGGGGCCGGGGCTTCCCAGGGGAGCGGGTGCCGGGTTAGGGGCACTGCTGCCGCGCTCCATCCCTTCCCCTTCCCTTGGCACTGGAGCCTTGCATAAGCCTGGAAGCGGAATCCAGCCCAGGAGGGAGGATCCAGCCCGGGAAGCAGGATCCAGCCCGGAGCTGCCGGCTGCATTAGTAATGCGAGCTGCAGGCAGGGGATGATTCAGTGGCGGTGGTGGTGGTGCCGTGACGGCCCCGGGGCTGCCTGCCGTGGGCAAGCCCGGTCCCCCGCACCCCGCACCCGGCACCCCGCACCCGGCACCCGCAGCGCTGCGGCTGGGGCTGAGCCCCGCGGGAGGTGCTCCCTGCCCCGGCGTGGGGCGAGGACGCGTCCAGGGCAGGTGCAGGTCCTGGCTGCCACTGTCCTCCTGCGGTAAAGCCGCGTCCGTGGCGCTGCTGCCGCCCGGGTGGCTGCCCCGGCTGCTTTGTGGCCCCGCAGAGCGGGTCCTGGGCTTGGCAGCCTGGCGCTGCTCCCGGCGGGGACGCGGTGAATGCCACCGCTCGGTGCCTGCTGATGAGCCCGCTGCTGCTGCTATCTCTGGTGACAGTGACGGGAACCGTGCGCCCACTCCGCGGGATTAATGTGGGGCACGCAGACCTGAGAGATGGCAAAAAGCCACAGCTTACTCATCAGGAAAAAAGGCTGGGGCTGTCTGTCCCGGGGTGATTGTACAGGTTTGTGTCCTTGACATTTTGCAAAGCCTGAAGCCCCAGCCGCAGGGACCGCACGGTGACGGGCTTCTGGGGAGAGCAGCGCCGCTGGCTTGCCCCAGCCGCGTGGTTTGGGTGCACGCGGGTGTTTGGCACCGACCCCGCTGCTCTGCCTCTGCTGGGGCTGAACTTCTGCAGGTGGCTTCTTAACCCACTTCTGTGCGTGACCTCGTTTTTTTAGGCTCTGAGTATTTCTTACAACTTCGCAAAGCCCGCCAGGCCGCGGTGCCCCCCGCTCAGCCCCAGCAGCGTCCTGGTTGACTGGGTTGGGCTGACGGGGAGCGATGCGTGGCACAGAGGTGGATGGGGCATCCCCAGGAGCCGCCAGAGCTCCGTCCTCAGGAGATGGGGCTGAGCGGGGATGTCCCCAGTGTCCTGCCTGGGCTCTGCCACCCGGAGGGGTCCGAGGGTCTCCCTGCCCTCCCCTCCTGGGCTCTGCTGCGGCTCCGCAGCCGCGCGGCCGGGGCTGTTGTGCCAGGCCTGGGGTGAGCGGTGCAGGGGGCCAGCGGCCGTCCCTGCTCAGAGGCCTTCAGCATCTCCTGTCACCATCGCTGTGGTTCAACTAGGTCAGAAGTAAGGGGGGGGCAAGGATCCTAATTAATTTGTTTTCAGGTATTTTTAGCAGCCTGGGCTGGATCTTTTCTCCCATGCACGCGCTGCCCTCCAAGGAACAAAGTGTTGGCGTCGCAGCCAGGCCCATAAGAGCCTGCCCAAGGTTCAGCCCCGTTTGTGTGTGCTGGGGGGCGATGGGGGCCGCGTCGTCCCCCTCAGTCCTCCCGGTTCTGGCCCCATGGGGTTGCGCAGGCTCCTGAGGCGGTGCAGGGCAGTGCCCGGCTGGCGCGGTGCCTCGCTCTCTGCTCCTCACGGCTCGGCACGGCCGATGCTCCCCTGGGGCTTGCTTGGTGCTGGGGGGGCCTTGGCAAGAGCCCGGGGGGGGCTTGCGGCCACCCTGCGGCACCTCGGGGTCCTGCCGGGGGTCCGGGGGGGGCCTCGGTGCCCCCCAGGTGCCCTCTGCTCCCCAGGGAGCGCGGTGCCGTGCCGTGCCGTGCCGTGCCGAGCTGTGCCGAGCTGTGCCGAGCTGTGCCGAGCTGTGCCGTGCTGTGCCCCCCCCGGCTGGCAGCTTGCAGAGGGCACCCAGGAGCCGGCCCCGCGTGTGACGTCATGGCTGTGCAGCGGTGACATCACTCGCGGTTGCCATGGCAGCGGCTCACGCGGGGACGGTGTCATTGGGAAAGGGCAGGGGGGGTGCGGGGGTGCCCCGGGGGCTCGGGGGGCTCCGTGCCCGGCCTCCCCCCCCCCCCGGTCCTGCTGTGACCTTGCCGGTGCTGGGGAAGGTCGCGGTGCAGACGTGCAGAGGCTCCCGGCCGTGCCCCCCCTCGGCTGTGCCCCCCCGGTGCCCCCCCGGCTGCGGGCGGCGCTGGCTCCAGCTGCAGTTGTACGTGCTCGGCCGCTCCCGCAGCCCCCCCCCGCCCCCGGCCGGGCTCTGCCGTGTGCCCCCCCTATGCAGGGTCCCCCCCCCCCCCCGCCGGAGGTGTTGGCACAGAGCCAGCCCCGCTCACCCGCAGCTGGTGGGGGGGTCGGGGGTCCCCAGCCGCTCCCCCCCCCCCGGCCAGGGGTCTCCCCACCAGCACCCGGCTTTGTGTCCCCCCCCCCTTGGAGCACAGCACCAGGAGCCCCCCGCAGCCCCGGGCCTCATCCTGCACCTGCGCAGCCCCCCCGGGACCCGGGCCCGCAGGATCAGGCTCATGGCTGTGCTGCCTGGGGTGACAGCGGGGGGGCCGTCCCCAGGGGCTCAGTGACAGTGACAAGGGTCCTGCACCCGTCACGGCGCTGGGGACCGGACGGGGCCATGCATGGACGTGGCTGTGCCTGGGAGGGGCGTGGGGCTGTGCTGCTCGGGTCCCGGGGGGGCCGCGGGGTGCCAGCTCCTCCGTCCTCCCCCAGGTTTTACTGGGACTTCACGATGCTGCTCTTCATGGTGGGCAACCTGATCATCATTCCCGTGGGCATCACCTTCTTCAAGGAGGAGACCACGGCGCCCTGGATCGTGTTCAACGTGGTCTCCGACACCTTCTTCCTGATGGACCTGGTGCTGAACTTCCGCACGGGGATCGTCATCGAGGACAACACCGAGATCATCCTGGACCCCGAGCGGATCAAGAAGAAGTACCTCAAGACCTGGTTCGTGGTGGACTTCGTCTCCTCCATCCCCGTGGACTACGTCTTCCTCATCGTGGAGAAGGGCATCGACTCGGAGGTGTACAAAACCGCCCGCGCCCTGCGCATCGTGCGCTTCACCAAGATCCTCAGCCTGCTGCGGCTCCTGCGCCTCTCCCGCCTCATCCGCTACATCCACCAGTGGGAGGAGGTAACGGGCTGGGGGGGGGGACCGGCCTGGACCCCTCCGGGGGCTTGGGGAGCCCAAACCGTCAGCGGGGGGGTCTCTGCGGCATCGTCTCCAGGATGGAGAATGGGAACAGTCCCACGAGCTTGGGGGCGGGTGGGGGCATGGGGCCAAGAGCTGGCGGCGTCCTTCTGTGTCCCTGCTGTGACACCGGGACGTGGGCACCGTCTGAGCTCGCTGCAGCACGTGTGTACACGTGTGTGTGAGTACATGTGTGTGCGTGTGTGTGTCCATCTGTCTGTCCATGGGGACACCCCGTGGGTGACAGCACCCCACGCCCCGTGCCCACCAGCAGCATCCTCCTGCACCCCACCTGCAGCCGGGGGGCTCCTTCCCACTGCCCCCTCCCCACCGGTGCCCCAGGGGGCTGCAGGCGCCGCAGGAGCCGCCGGCCTCAGGGCAGGGGGGGAGGCGGGACGCTGGAGGGGCTGCAGGGGCTGCAGGGGCTGTGCCTTGGTGCCTGGCTGCGGGTGCTCGGCTTCGCCGCGTGGCTGCGGTGCGTGGGCTGAGCCTCTGCCAGCCCCGATGGCTGCGGCCGTGCAGGTGCTCGCTGCAGCACGGCGCCGGCTCTGTGTGCGTACCGGGGGGGGGGGGGGGGGGGGGGGAGCTGCCTTCACACCCTCCTCATCCCCAGGCCCCACATCCCAGCCTGCTGCGCCCACCTCAAGGGCTGGGATCTGCCGTAAGCACCTCCTGCCAGCCCCGGCTCCCAGTGCCCCCCCCCCCCCGTGCTGGGATGAGCAGCCTCAGACCCCAGGGCTGGGTGCGGAGGCTGCTGTGACTTTGCTGTGCCCTTGTCCTGCCTTTGCTGTGCCCTCGCTGTGCCGGCTGCTCGGTGTGATGCTGTGGGGCTCCAGCCTTGTAGCTGCAGCAGGAGGAAGACTTGGGAGGGGAGTTATTTAATTTTACTGCTTTTTTGCTTCTTGAATTCAACTTAAAAAAAAAAAAAAAAAAAAAAAACATTTTAAAGGAGAAGGAACAAGTCCTAAGACCTTTTCCCTTTCCCCCACTGTGTGCCCAGGGGAGAGAGGCACTGGGGACAGGCAAGGCTGTGAGCGGGAGGCTCGGGGTAGTGAGGGCGCAGGGCAAGGAGCAGCCACAAGGGCCGGGTCCCCCTGCACCCATGGTCACAGCTCCCCCTGCACCCACCCCAGCCGGGGGCACCTTGTGCCGTCTCTTTCAAAGCCACCTCGTGCTGAGCCCAGGCACGGTCCCGCTCCCTCCTCCCCCAGGAGCTCCACGAGCCGCCTTATCCTGATCAAAGCCCGCAGCCACCCGCGCTCCCCGGCACTGCGGCTCGCAGGCCCCCCGCCAGCTATAAATGGGCGGCAGGAGCGCGGCTGCCTTGGGGGGCCGGGGCCGGTGGTGGCTGTTTGGGCCGAGGCTGTGCACGTTGAGCCTTGTGCCGCAGGGTGCGGGCGGTGTCCTGCCTCTGTGCCCGACCCCATCGGTGTCAGGGCGGACGGGGCTGTGCTGCAGGGGCTGGCCGGGACGGTCCCGGTCCTGCACTCATGTGGCCGCCTTCGTGCCCCGGCCCCTGCAGATTTTCCACATGACGTACGACCTGGCGAGCGCCGTGATGAGGATCATCAACCTGATCGGCATGATGCTGCTGCTGTGCCACTGGGACGGCTGCCTCCAGTTCCTCGTGCCCATGCTGCAGGATTTCCCCCAGAACTGCTGGGTCTCCATCAACGGGATGGTGGTGAGTGCTGCGCGGCGGCTCGCAGGACATGGGGAGGGATCGATCGCCGGCAGGAGGAAGATGCTGATGTGGCTCTGCCCCTGTCCCCTGCCTCCATCCCCTTCTCATTAGCAACAAAGCTGCTATTAATAAATAATGGGACACTGCTAATTGCTCCCTGCAATCTCAGCCCTGGTACGGGCTCATCTTCCTCCTGCCCTCCCCATTCATCCCTTCCGTTCTGCCGCGTTTCCATCCCCGTGCTATTTTCCCTCCCCGCCTGCCTTCCTGCCCGTCCTCTGCTCCCCATCTCCCGCTCCTCTTCCCCGCCACGTCCATTCTCGAGGGGAACCGACGCTTTGTGCTCTGCCAGCCCTGCAGCCCCTGCCCGCCCCATCCCCAGCTGGGCAGGGACCCCCAAATGCTGTGAGATGCCCGGCCATCGGGGCTTGGGCCCTGCACGGCGCTTTGCAGGGGCTCTGCGTGTTTGCAGAGCAGTGTAACACAGCCAGAACGGCTGGCGAGCCACAGCGAAGCCAGGCAGGACGGCGAGGTGCAGAAACCCTCCAGTCTGGTGGATGCTGTGAAGGGAGCAGAGCGCGGCGGGACCGCTGCCAACCCAGCCGGTGCCTGGTGTTTGGATTTGTTTGGATCTCACCTGCACGGTGAGACAGGAAAAAAAAAAAACACAAACAAACAACAAAAATCACTTTGCTTAGCGCTGCTGGGAGCTGCCAGCAGAGAACTGAGCCAGGGCCGCGCTTGGTACCCACGTGTGCGAGTGCTCCCAGCTGCGCGCCCCCGGGCTGACTGCTGCGCTCTCGGTGCTGCAGAACGACTCCTGGAGCGAGCTGTACTCCTTCGCCCTCTTCAAGTCCATGAGCCACATGCTCTGCATCGGCTACGGGAAGCAGGCGCCCGAGAGCATGACGGACATCTGGCTGACGATGCTGAGCATGATCGTGGGGGCCACCTGCTACGCCATGTTCATCGGTCACGCCACGGCCCTCATCCAGTCGCTGGACTCCTCCCGGCGCCAGTACCAGGAGAAGGTAGGGCTGGGTGGGACTGGGTGGGACTGGGTGGGACTGGGACCACGGTTCCTGTCCTGTGCCATCCCGGCTGGTGCAGCCCCCCTGGTGCATGGCTGCCTGCGGGTGCAGCCGAGCAGGGCGAGGGCTCCGGGTACAGCCGGGGCTGAGTCCAGGGCAGGGGTTGGGGCTGGGGCCGCTCTGCCCGCTGTGGACGGGGCGGTGGGGCCGGACCCAGCAGTGCAGGACCCTGACCTGGCTGACGCTGCCGCCCTCCCTGTCCGCGCAGTACAAGCAGGTGGAGCAGTACATGTCCTTCCACAAGCTGCCCGCCGACTTCCGCCAGAAGATCCACGATTACTACGAGCACCGCTACCAGGGCAAGATGTTTGATGAGGACAGCATCCTGGGGGAGCTCAACGAGCCCCTGCGCGAGGTATGGTCCTGGGGGCTGGAGGGCGGCAGCTGGGAGGAGGGGGCCACTGCCCTGACCCCCCCCCCCGTGGTCAGGGGCCCCCTGCTCCCAGCCATGGAGGGGGCTGCAGGTCCCAGCGCTCCTGCAGGACCCGCGCACACCTCTGGCTCTGGCTTTGCAGCTCCGAGTGTGGCTGAGTCCTTGCACGATTGTGTCTGTGTGTGCTGACACCTCCGCGTGTGAGCCAGCCTCTGGGGACCGTGTCCCATCTCCTCACCTGCTTCCTCCCCTCCTTCCCTGCAGGAAATCGTGAACTTCAACTGCCGCAAGCTGGTGGCCTCGATGCCGCTGTTTGCCAACGCGGACCCCAACTTTGTCACAGCGATGCTCACCAAGCTGAAGTTTGAGGTGTTTCAGCCGGGCGACTACATCATCCGCGAGGGCACCATCGGCAAGAAGATGTACTTCATCCAGCACGGCGTGGTCAGCATCCTCACCAAGGGCAACAAGGAGATGAAACTCTCCGACGGCTCCTACTTTGGAGGTGAGCTCCTGGGGGTCCTGAGCCTGGCCCCCCCCTCCTTGGTCTGTGAGAGGCCCCAGGATGCTCACTCTGTCCTGGGATCCCCTGGGCTTGGTGGCTTTTGCCCCTTGCCCCCTGCCCCCCAGCCCCGTTTCCAGTACTTGCTGGCGGGGTTTTGGCTTTGGCACCATTGCACCTCCCCTCCCCAGAGATCTGCCTGCTGACCCGCGGCCGGCGCACAGCCAGCGTCCGGGCGGACACCTACTGCCGCCTCTACTCGCTCTCCGTGGACAACTTCAACGAGGTGCTGGAGGAGTACCCCATGATGAGGCGGGCCTTCGAGACCGTGGCCATCGACCGCCTCGACCGCATTGGTAGGGCTCTGGGGGCTGCGGGGGCGCAGGGACCCTCCTGCTGCCACATCCCACTGCTCCTCGGTGCTGCCTGTCCCTGTGCCCTGGGGGGCAAACAGCCGAAGGGGCGCGATGGGGACTCCAGGGTGCAGGGACCCTGTGGGGTGCTTGGACGGGGGGTGGCAGCGCGTGGAGGTGGCCACGGGGATGGGTGGTGAGGGGCCAGGACAGCCCTTGCTGGGGTAGGGGCCCGGCACAGCCCCAGCACTGGAGCTCATCGCTCTCCCTGCCCCGTCCCTCCTCCTGCAGGGAAGAAGAACTCGATCCTGCTTCACAAAGTGCAGCACGACCTCAACTCGGGCGTCTTCAACAATCAGGAGAACGAGATCATCCAGGAGATCGTCAAGTACGACCGCGAGATGGTGCAGCAGGCGGAGCTGCAGCAGCACACGGCCATGTACAGCCCGGTGCAGCCCCAGGTCACCTCCGCCATCGCCACCCTCCAGCAAGCCGTGGCCATGAGCTTCTGCCCGCAGATGGCCAGCCCGCTGGTGGGCTCCATGGCGCTGGGCTCGCCCCGCATGATGCGCCGCTTGCAGTACGCCCAGGCCGTGCCCAGCCCCTTCGCTGTCTCCCCGGTGCTGCTGCAGCAGAGCCCCCCGCAGCAGCCGCAGCCCCCCACGCCCCACGCCAACCCGTCGCCCTCGCAGGACCAGGCGCCGCCGACCGCCCTGCCCGCCTCCGCCGGCGCCCTCGCCGCCGCCAGCCCGCCGTCCCAAAGCCCGCTGGCCAGCCGGACGTTCGCCTACGGAGGTGCCAAGGGGCAGCTGGGCTCCCAGCTCTCCCTGAGCCAGCAGCAGGCGCCCGGCTCGCCCCCGCGGCTGGCCGTGCACAAAAGCACACAGGCGCTGCACACCAGCAGCCTCAGCCAGGATTCGCGGCCCCTGTCGGCGTCGCAGCCCTCCCTGCCCCACGGGCTGGCGGCCGGCAGCACCCAGAGCCCCCCAGCCTCGGCGCGCGAGTCCTGCGCCTCCATCGCCGGGGGTCCGGCCGCCGCCTCGCCGGGCTCGGCGCCCCCGGCCGGGCTGCGGGGCCCGGCCTCCTCGCGGGGGGCCCTGTCCCACCCGGCGCCCGCGGGGCCGCCCGCCCTGCAGCAGGACTCGGGGGCCACCCGCAAGGATTCGGTGGGCGGCACGCCCGACACGGACCCTGCCAAATCCAGGCTGTCTTCCAACTTGTGACCTCCGCACCGCACCGGCTGCCAGGCGGGCGTGGGGACGGGTGCGCCAGGGGGGCCGCAGTGTGGGCGGCCAGCCCTGTGCCCGCTGCTCCCAGCCCGCACATCCCCAACCAAGGCGTCCATGCCAGGGGCACCTCCACCCCCCTCGGCCACCTCCAGCCCCGCTCCCCGGCTTCCTCCCACCGGGGGTGGGGGGTTTGGGGGCTCCGTCACCTCCGACCAAAGTCTGGCCCCGTCTCCTGCTCCCTGCAGGGGTGCCCCACTGCCCCCGGCTGCCCCATAGAAGCCACAGCTGCATCGTCCCCTGTGATCAACGCTGTATATGATATCTATGACCTGAATACAAACCTGTATGTGTGCATCCGCAGGACACCTCCCCGGGGGTTAAGGCACGCTGGCCAGCCCCAGCGCCGCCGCCCGTCCCTGCCTCCCCTCCCACAGAGCGATGGCGAGGGGTGACGGTCGAGGACTGGAGGTAAGTTGTGGGGTCTGGGGACTGCAACCCCCCGCGCACACACCAGCCCCCGGTGCCAGCCCAAGGCTGGGGCTGGGGGCGAGCTCCCCCCCGCTCCCTGGAGCTGGGGGAGCTGAGCCCTGGGGAGCCGCAGGGGCAGTCACCAGTGAGGCAGCGCCGGGCTCCCCTGGCCGGCCGGGGAAGGCGCACACAGCGCGTGGAACCGCGTGCCCGTGTGTACGCGTGCCCCGAGGGATGGCGGAGGTGTGAGCGTGGGTGCACGCGGGCACAGCCCGGCACGCTGGAGCCTTCCACACTGAATGTATGCAGCGCCCCCCGAGCGAGGGGCCACACGCCCCCTGCCCCCGCAGAGCTGGGGGGACAGCTCCCAGCGCCCACCTTGCCATCCAGCCCATCCCGTGCAATAAACGTCAGCACCTGACAGAGCTACGCACGTCTCCGTCTCTGCTTCTCCTTCGCCTCCGTCCCGCCCTGCCGCGGCTCCGGCTGCTCCTGGCCCTGCTCCCGGCGCTCGGGCCCTGCCAGCGGGCACAGCCCCAGGCCGGGCTGCAGGAGGCAGGTTTGTCCTTTAAAGAGCAAAGGGCCGCGGCCAAAAAGCCGCCTCCCAGCACTCCTCACCTCCAGCCGGGCTGCAGGAGCTGGGCCACAAAGACACAGCCCCAGGGGAGAAGGGTGGAGGGGGGGAAGGCCAGAGGAGGCTCCTGGCCAGAACTGCAGGGAGCAGCCGCAAGCAGCCCTGGGTGGAGGCCGGCCCCACTCCAGCTTCACCAATCTGCCAGCTCCGACAGCAAGGGCTGCAGGACAGTTTTGCATCCCCTTCTGCTGCAAAGCAGGTACCAGGATGCAACAGGCCCCAGAGAACCGAACCCCCACCAGGCAGCACGGTGACAGCAGGAGGACCAGGAGGGGAGAGCCCAGGCGGCCCTCAGACTCCAAGCAAAGACGGGGGAGAAGGACAAACTTTCCACCCCATGTTTCAAAAAACATTTTATTTACAGTATCGTACACTTCCACCCCCGTTAGTGGTTTTCTTCCCCTACCTGAGACCCAATGAGCAGAATTTAAACACAGCCCTGGAGAAGTGCGGGGAGCTGCAGGGGCTGTGCTACAGCAGGAGCTGTGACAGTGCCCAGTGGCTGGACCTGGTCACAGAGAGCAGCACCCACCCCACAGGGGGAGGCTCGTGTCAGGGCCACGTCACCCTCCTACCCCTGGGGACAGGGGCCCAGCCCTCCAGCTGAAGAGAAGGACAGTGGGGACAGCACCTTCAGCACAAGCACCAGGCAGGCCAGCTCTGGAGCTGGCAGCAGCAGTAGGGACGCACCAACCCCGTCTAATCCCGTGACCCCACACGAGATCTCGCTGCCCTCTCCAGCTCCTCTCCCCTTGCCAGGCAGTAACAGCGAATAGCGCAGCCACCCCATCCCCACCAGCCCCCTGCGCTCCTCCAGGAGCCCCAGTTTGCCCCAGTATCTCCATGTGGTGCGGGTGTCTTGGTGGGCTGGCGGCCGCTCCCTTTCCCCACGAGCACAGAAGAGCCCAGCCAGTGCCTACCCCAGGCTCCGAGGCAGCCAAAGTCCAGAGGTGGTGCAGGGCCGCTGGCTGCTGGGGCTCAGCTGAAGAAATAAGTGGAATCCATCACCTTCGTCAGGTTGAATTCCCCTGCGGGAAGCAAGGGAGACCAGAGGTGAGAGGAGAGCAGGGTCAGGGCATGGTGATGAGGCAACTGGGAGAGAGCTGTCCCGAGCTTGCTGCAGAGCACGGCTTCAGCTCAGCTCCCGTGGTGGGCTCACAGAGGCCCACGTGGAACTGACGGCCCCCTGCATGTCTGGGACAGGGGAGGAACGGGCAGCTGGGAGCAAGGAAGGGAAGGCAGAGGGGCAGACGTGGCCCCTCGGTACAAACCGACTGCCTCTGGGGCCGAGCACAGCGGCTGCTCAGCAGCGCTGCGCTGGGCTCTGCTGTGCCACAAAGGCAGGGCAAAGTTTAGCCAGATGGCCTGGCAGAAGCACGGCTAGGAGATTAGGAGGAGTTAAACTAATTGCCTTAATCCCATTGCGTGGATATCATCTAGATCCTGGCAATTACTGCGCTCAGTTCCTCGCTCCCATCTCCAGGCAAATGCTTTGTGGCTGGGAACAGATGGGAGAAGAGCAGCAGGACGGGGGACAGCAGGAGCTGGGTCAAGCCGGGGCAAATCCCAGAGGAAAAGCTCTGGGCAAGGCAGGGGCCATTGGGGAATGACAAGAGGTGCTGTCTGCGGGCTCTGCAGTCCAAGATGGGCAGGAAAAATGGATCTTTGGGGACCCCTTTGGCAAGCCTGGAGCCTCAGCACGTCCAACGTTGGATGCCACAAACATTCAGTCATTTCCAGGGCCATTCCCCAGCTCTTTCCCCTTGTTTTCAAACAGTTTCCGAGCTTTGCAGCTCCCATCCTGTGCTCCTACCTGTCTCGGGGACACTCGACAGCTGCTCCATCAGCTTCTTCTGCCAAGGGGCTCTGCTGTCTTCGCTGGGGCTGGACAAACCAGAAAGAAAGCGAGTCACAGGCAGCTCTGGGAGAACAGGCGCCCTCTTCCACCCACCAGTACGGGACCTGAAACTGGCTTCAGCTTGTCCAAAACACTGCGCCTTGCCACAGCAGCCTCAGGCGGGGACTGAGACAGCTGCAGGTGCTCCCCAGAGCTGGGGATGTCTCCTTTTGCCTGACTCCATGGGAATAACCGAGGGCTGCACGCTGGGTGACCCCAGCTCATCTTCCTGCCTCCTTCATGGGGAAACCAAGGCCCCCCCCAGGCCCACAGAGGGATTCAAGCACTGAATCCCACTTCAGTAATGCAGCAGAAGGATGCAGACGCCTCGAGTTTCACACCGAAGTCTAAGACAACTTGGGTGTCAGTTGGGAAGGAAGCAGAACGTCCCGTGGGATCAGCCCCCAGGGAGATGGCACAGCCTGGGAGCAGCCGTGGGACAGGGACCTGGGAGGAGGGAGCGGACTGGGGGCCACCCGTGGCCAAGCAGTACCTGCAGTACTTCTTCAGCATGAACTTGGACAGATCCTGCAGGATCTTCTGGCTGTGCAGAGCCACGAATTGCTGCCGACAGATCTGCTCCAGGGAGCAATGGTGAGGCGCAGGTTAAGAGGCGTTTTCCCCTCCTTCCCCTCAGCGCTCCTCAGCCAAGACAGGTCAGGGGCGAGAGGAGGGAAAGCAGCAGGCAGGAGTGGGAAAGGGGGGGAGGCTGCTGGACAAGGGTGCAGGGAATCAGTGTGGGGAGGTGGGAAGCAGAGGCCGAGCCCCGTTTATTGATCCATCGCACAGCAGCCCTGCAGCAGTTCAGAAGAGCCCAGGGCAGGACAGAGGCGCTGGCTCTGCTCTGTGCTGCTCTCCACCCTCCCTGAAGGGTGGCAGGAGGGGGCCTGCGGCACCCAGAAGTCAGCTGCAGCCACCAGCAAGCAGCCAGGCTCACCCTGCCTGGGTAAGCCAATGCGCCTATGGAGCGAAGCCCAGGGGAGGCAAGGGCTGGCAAGTGCCCAGAGGACAGATCAGCAAGATCCCTGCTCACGGGGGCCTCGGGACACTTTTACCTGGTTCATGACGTCCACAGTGAGCGCGTGAGTCCAGTAGCAGTCGTGGACTGAGACGAAGGTCAGCCCCTGCCTGGGAGGCAGCAGAAGGTGCTGTGAGGCAGTGCTGGGAGCCCCAGCTCTGCGCTGTTCCCTGCCCCACAGAAACCCTGGGGCTGGCACAAGCGGAGGGCACTCCCCACGCAGGGCCTGAAGCCCTCCAAGAGAGGTGGCCCCCGGGAGCTGCCCGGCCCTGCCCTGCTGCCTCCTCCCAGCCCTGCTCCACCCCGGCGCCTACCTGAAGCAGTGCAGAGCCGTGAGCATCATGTGCGTCGAGTCCAGGGAGTGGATGAAGTTGGGCGGGAAGGCGTTTTTCTGCTTCACTGTGTCAGGCTTCCTGCAGCACAGAGCGGGACATGGGAGGAGCTGGGGCACGTCCAGGGCCCAGGGTGAGAGAGCCAGGGCAGAGCCAGCCAAGACCTGGGGTTGATGGGGGCAGCCCTGAAGGGCCCCAGCTCCTCCAGCTGGCTCTCCGCGGCTCAGGGGAGTACCAGCAGCTTCAGCACATTGGCAGGGAAGGTTTTGTCCCCAAAGCACAGAATTGGGCGTCAGGGACTCGGTGCAGAGCGCAGGCTCACACTTACTGGTTGGTGTTGGCGGAGCTCTTCACGCTCAGGTTCTGCATGTTGGAATTCAGCTGCAGGAAGAAAGGGGATCGGCTGTCACACCAGGCTGCCCAGACAGCACGAGGCACTGAGCACTGCCGCCCGCCTCTGCAGAGGGGAGCGGAGCAGCGAGGTGCTCCACGCGCTGCCGGACGGGGACATCTGCGGGGCACCCCGGGCACTGCGGCAGCCATCGCTCCCCAGTGGCACCTCGCCTGCCGCCCCTCCGAGGATGCTGGCGAGCATCCTTCACCCCTGCCAAGGGCGATGGAGATGCTGATTCACCCTGCGGGGGCTGAGAAGAGCTCCTGCAGGTGGGAGGCACCCGCCTGCACCCCCCCACGCAGCCGAGCTGAGGCCACGGGAGGGCGGCTGTGAGGACTGAGGACGGGACGGGAGAGGCCGGGGAGCCGTGAGTCAGTGCAGCAGCGTGTGGGAGGCGAGAGCAGCGAGGCTGAATCACGCCAGCCCCGAGGACGGCTCCACAGCTCCGCAGAGTGGGGAAGGGGCCTGAGCCCCAGCTGTCGGAGTGGGACGGGAGCGGCAGCTCCCCCGCAGCCCACCCCACGCTCCAGTGCCCGCGGTGAGGCTGGAGGAGGCGCCTGCACACAGACACCCTGCGGGCTCTGCAGCCTCACCCGCAGGCACCGCCGGCCTTCAGCTCGCTGCCCCCAGCCCTGCCGCGCCTTCCCCGCTCCCCCCCGCGGCAGAGGGACGGGCGAGGGGACACAGCTCTGCCACCAGACACTCACCACAGTGGACCGGACCCGATAGTAGGGCTGCACGATGGGGAGCCCCATGGGGGTGACCCACTCCACCGTCTGTCCCGACTGGGCGATGAGCTTGGCGCTCTCCGTCAGCCAGTGCTTGGGGGGGGGAAGGGGAAGAAAGAGGCTGGAGTTAGTGCAGGCAGCGGCCGACCCTGCTCCCTCCCAGCACCGGCAAGCCCGGCCTCCTGCCGCAGACTGGGACAGCCCGGCACGTACTGGGGAGCCTGGATCTGCCCTGGGCACAGCCCCACACCCCTGGGCTGGGACGGGAGGATCCTCCCTGGGCCAGGGCCCTGCAGAAGCAGCTCTCCCCACAGAGCTCCTCGCCCCCCTGCTCTACCTTTGGGTGGACCAGCGAAGAAAAGGGAGAGGCGAGAGGCGTCTTACCTGGATGTCTCGAGTGGCTGAGAACATCTCCTTGATGCCATT